TGCCAGTGCTTCTTGATGATTAGATAAAGAAGAGCAAAATGATGGCATGACATCCTCTTTCATGTTCTGCTGAGCCTGCACACAAGAGTAAAGATGCACTGTCGTTTCCTTTGGTTGTTGCAGGGACAGTCATTATTTCTGCATTAGGCTGAGCTATTCAGATTTACTTACAGCAGCTCTTCTGTTCCCTCCTTTTTCTTTTTTTTTTTTTTTTTTTTTTTTAAATTCTGCCAGATCATGTTTTTAGATGCTCTGCTAAATTCTGGAGTTACAGACATTACTTTTCAGAGGATGTTCAGTCCTCCAACATTAAGGCCAGTAGTCTCCAGGGTTAAACTAGTCTGTATCCAGTGTTTGTCTCATGACAAATGAGGTTTGGGAAATGGATGCTGCACCAGCTATCCCAGACAGAAGACTTGATTGTAGTTGATGGAAGAGCTGGTCACGTGTAGGAGGTCTCTGCTGGCATTCAGCAAGTACTGCCGAGGCTCTGCTCAGAATATGGCTATTCTACCTTTTTTTAAGATGTGTAGGAAGACACTAGAATTACTGTAGTACCTTTACCTCCTGGAGGAATGAAGTCTTAACAGAGGGAGCAGCGCAGAAGTTGTACTCACGCTGCATTACTTTTGAAATCAGGTCACAGAAGAACAGGGGTGCAAAGTGAACAAGTATCAGTGACCTCTTCATTTTTGTGCCACAAAAGAGAGGAATTTATCACTGCATTAGTGAGATTAAAGGCAAGACTATTTGATGGGGTTAGCTGATGCAATATTTCATTGCCACTGGATGGGAGCATTTTCCTTCCAAGACATTTTCTCTTTCACCTCAGAGAAGCAGAGGGGCAGAACCTCCTCTAGATCACTTTGGTCCTGTTATGTGAGTGCACCTTGTGTCCTGCACACACTTATCCTTCTTGGTCTTCCCCAAACTCACTGGCATTGACCTTCATCAGCTGTTACACAAGCTACTGCCGCTGCCTTGCAATATGAATGGGGAGGATTCCTCTGGTTTTGCTATGTTAAAACTGCTGTTTTGCAAACTGATGCAAGGTTTCCAGAGAGTGGATACGTTTCTTCAGGGACTGGAGTTGAAAATTGCTAAATTCATTCCACCCAGTGCTTCAGTAGAATGTAGCCTTACGTATTTTCAAAGAAAAGGCTTCAGTGCAATAAACCCAAAGATGTGTACGGTGCAGCAAATGAAACCTCCAGCTGCATAAACAGATCGATAAACTGATTTGTGTTTGCTGACCAGAAGAAAAATCTAATTGCGAGTACTCCATATTCAGCGTTTGTGGTGAAACTAGAGTAATTGGAATAATGAGAAATCCAGTTTGCTTTTGTTTGGAGTTTATTCTTCTTTAGGTTTCACTAAACCAGACTGGTGCAATGCACAGGCCTCTCAAGGCTTAGGCTGGTGTCGTATTCACAGTTTCTAGGTCTTCAGGCGGATACATTCTTCATGGATTTCTTCAAATTCTAAATTATAACATTTGCCATCTTTTAGTGTGACTTGAAATGATTGGTGTAACATTGTTCTTGGTGTTTAGAGGCTCCTTTCACCTGCCAGAATCTCCTGCTCTGTGTCGGGCAGCTGTCGGTTGACTGAAGTTTGGATGCACCTGAATGGCAAAATAGCTCTCAGGTTCCAGATCTGTGCGGTTACTACCATCTGCAAGAGGAAATTTTGCTCTCCTGCATGTCCTGAAGATGTATTTCCAAGAAGCGTGTTGTTGTGTCAGTCGTCAGGTATTTTTCAGTTGGGTGCTTCTCTTGCATCTCTTTGGATTTAGGTGAAAAAGAAAAGATGATCGTATCTCTATGAGGGACAATATTCATAAAAGTAAAAAATTTTAGATAGGTGCGAAGAAATGCCCCATGAAAAACAACACGATTGGAGTCATGTGAATGTGTTTTCTCCATTTGAGTGAGACAGAAGCTGTTTCAAGATATCTAAGTCATCTCAGTTGCTGGTAACAGTAATGAAGGTGATAGTAAAGAATTCTTAAAAGGCTATCACTACAAGGACAGTAGAATTGTCAGCAGCGTTTAATATCACTTTGAGTTAAAATCTGTAAATTGGATAGACATAGCTTAGATATCCCATCAGCATCTCATTATTGAGAGAGTGGAAAATGAGTCCTCTATGAAAGAAACAGGGCAGGGTGAGCTTTCTGTCTGCTAGGAGGAGGACACAGAAAGAAGTGATTGGAATTCAGTAATGATGAATGTGTGATTTTAACTGTATGAATAGCTGATAACTTAAATGAGTCTAAAAAAAGCTACAGAAAATAGATTTTAAGTTTTTGAAGGCAAGCCTGGTAGAAGTGAAGGCAAAACCTGTTGTTGCTGGGTTTCGTTTGTCCATCTATGGAAGGGAGAACCCAAAGGTCATCTGTAACCCCAGATCCAGAGTTTAAAAGGAAGGCTGACCTGCCAATTGAGATATGGTACGACCCTGGTATCACCTGAGATTGTGCCAATAAAGACTAAGCCTTGCAAGTTGATCCTCGCTGCTGTTATTTAACCAAGGAAGCACCTTATCCAGAAGTCTGGTAGGAAATGTATAGGCTTGAGATGCAATTTATATCTCCCCGTGGCAGAGGCAGTTTTGGCTTTTTGGTTCTGTTGTTATAAATAGCGTAAAGGCTGAGCTCTTCGAAGGGTCCGTAGTTCTGCAAAACAGACAAGTGTATTCAATGGCAGTTGTCACCTTCATTATGGTTTTTGCTACATTTGAAAAGGGTTTTTTTTCTATTTTATTTATCCTCTTTATAAATGAACACTTTAATGAGTCTCTGATCAAAGGTTGTCCCTGTTCTATTCTAACAAGTGCCTGTTTTTTTTCTTACCATTCATTGCCAAGACACGTTTCACCAGCTAAGAGAAAGTGATTTAAGGCAGGTCATGACAAACTAATTATATTTGAAAGTAGTAGACAGAAAAGCTTGGATTTTAAGAATTTTTTTTTAAACTGATTTTGTTCTTGAAATGTTGGGGGGAGTGGATCTTGGATGTGGTTTCAAAGCACAGAAGTGGTGTCTGATCCCCAGAAGAGGGCTGCGCTTCCTTTTTGAGTGCTCTGGATCTGAGTTTTTCTATTTCTGTCCTGAAAAGCTTCAGGACATTCATAGTGTTTTATTTCAGGAACATTCATTTTTATTCAGGATCATTCATAGTTTCTATTCATGTGACGAGATTTTCTTTACATCAAGTAGATCCTATCGTTTTCACTCCCTTCTCTTGCATAGTTACTGGAAGTGAAGATATGTCCCACTTTAGCTAAGCTGACTAAGCCAGATTGCTTTAGTCATTGCTTGTAGAATAAGACTTTCTGTACCCTGATCTTCCTAGTAGCTGGTTTCTTAGCTAGAGCTTGAGTTCATCTTTCCTGGCCACACCACTGACTGTCCGTGGGCCGGGGCCGGGAGCAGTGCTGTAACTCTCAGAGCATCCTGCCTTTCATTATAAAATCCTCCCGTGGATCAGCTCTCTTGCCAGTGCCTTTGAGTCTTTTGAAAGGGAAAATTGCTTTTGCTAGCAACAAATTGCAGACCTCAAAAAAACCAGGACATACCTTTTTTAGAGCTTTCGCACAAGAAAAGGGCGTTATATCTGACTGTACAGTTGGCAGATCCGAATTTTAGAATGGCTGAGTTCCTTTCTTCCTCACCAAACAAAGTGAGGAATGAAAGACACAGAATAGCAGCCTTTTCCTTTTTAACCACACATGCTGATTCCACTGAGTTACATGTATGTGCTCAGACATGACCTCGATTTTTGTATCGAAATCTTCATGTCATGAACCAGCTCAGCTTTTTTTTAATGCTGTTTGGGATGTGGTCTCCACATACTTGAAAAATTCAGCATTGGTGGTTTCAGGAGGGGCAAGACCCACACAACACCCAGTGATTGCAGAAACCTGCTGTTGCTGGGGTCCATTCAACACTTGTTTTTTTACGCTAACCGTACTGCCTCCTCCACTCCAATTTTACAGTGGATTTTGCCACAGCTTTCTTCCTCGCTTTGTCCACAGCTCAGCCTTCACCTCATGCTAAAGCGAATGTTCTCACTTCTCACATTGGTGCAAACACAGTGTTTTGTCAGAAATGAAACATTTCCAGCATGTGTGGCTGTAGATGTTTGTCTTGTAAGTTGTTATGGCTATACTTTGGAGGGATACAGGAGGAATTTATTATAGGACTAATTAATTATTTCAGGCTTGCTTCTTCAAAACTAGTATTTTGTAAAAAAATTTCTTCCTTTTTCCTTGGTAAACTTTCCTGAAAAATTCCCTATATCTAACATCTGTATAAATTTAGAATGTTTTATGGGGTTGTTTCTAGCTGGGCTGAGTTGACTGTTTCAGGGTTGACCAGTAGCAAAATCTCCTAGATTTTCCACGTGGGAGTGAGATCAAGTACCACGGCGGAAAAATCTCTCTAATCTTGGTGTCAGGATTGATGCAGAGGTCGGTGCTTGCTCGCTTAGATGCGTGCCTTAAAGTGGGTCAGAAGAGAACCCCGGGGTCAGACCACTCGTGTGCGTGCCCACGTGTGGAGGGGTCTGGGGGGGGCTCTGCCGGACAGCCTGCCTGTGCAGGGCTCCCTGGGGTGCGAGTGAGGGGGTCCGTGCCACAACTGGAGTGGGGGTTGCAGCCTCAGGGCTTGCTGTGCCCAGGTGCCAGCAGCTGGGAAGACAGGGATCCACGGTCAGCTACTGGGTGGGCTGAGTGCCTGAGCCCAGCTGCTGGAGGGATCCACGCTGTACCTGTGCATGTGTAGACATTTCCCACTTTTTCAGCCTCTCCCTCTCAGAGTCTCTTGAAGCAATCGTGTCTCATTTTCCTTGAGCAGATACTCTTGGTTACACCTTGGGAGATTTGAGGCTGAAAGAAGGAACGGAAGCAGCAGAATGTCCCGGAGCGCCTTTTGGGCATGGGAAGAATCAATTAATCAGCCAGGATGTTTCACTCGAACCATTCCTTTTGTGTTTCAGCCCTGGCCCAGTGTGTCCAACCTGGCCAAGGATTTCATCGATCGTCTACTCACGGTGGACCCCAGCGACAGGATGACAGCCCTTCAGGCCTTAAAGCACCCGTGGGTGGTCAGCATGGCAGCCTCTTCCTCCATGAAGAACCTACACCGCTCCATCTCGCAAAACCTTCTCAAGAGGGCGTCTTCCCGCTGCCAGAGCACCAAGTCTGCGCAGTCCACCCGCTCCAGCCGCTCCACCAAATCCAACAAGTCGCGGCGGGTTCGGGAGCGGGAGCTGCGGGAGCTCAACCTGCGCTACCAGCAGCAGTACACTGGCTGAGCAGCGGGCCGGGACCTGCCAGGCGGCTTTCCGGGGGGGTCTTCTCCGCGGTCTAGGTGCGCAGCCCCCTTCGTGGCACGCTCACTCGGCGAGGAACATCCAGGTTCCTCCCTCTCTTCCTCCCGGGGTGTGTGTGTCCCCCCCCCCCAACCATGAGGAGGTGTCCTCCCGTGTCCCCCCGTCCCCCCCCAGCTTCGGAGGAAAGGGAACCTCATGGTGGTCATCACACCCCGCAAGCTGTGCCACCACGCAGCGGGAAACGGGGGAGCCCTTGTGGGCTCAGAGCACAGCTCAGAGCCTCGAGCAATACACAAATCAAGGAGCCACGTGGGGAGAAGAGCTCTTTCTGTAGCCCAGGAGCTTGGTTGTTCGTAGTTATTTATTAATTCCAGAGCGTTAAGTTGCTCTCACTTGCATACAAAAAAGAAAAAAGAACTCACTTTGTGTGTGTGTGCATGCACGTATGTGTGTGCACATACACATGTGGGTGTGTACATGTATTTAAAAATTACATATACACAGATTTTGAGCTGGTTTAGTCAGCCTCTGGTGCCTTTGCAGAGAAGCTGGTGTGAGTCACATGCGGTTGGAAGTAGAGTAGCTCTGACTCACCGGTGTGCTGCCCACCAGCTCCTCGTCCCGATACAGCACCGAGGAGATGCCAGACAGCAGTTTTCCCTGACGCAGCGAGGTTTCCCGTCCCCCTGATGACATCAGGGGTTTGCTCAAGCTGTGCAAGTGCTGCTCTGCAAATCGGCAAGCAGGCTGAAGTGCCGCGAGCTCTCGGGGCTGTAGTCTGATTCCTTCGATGCGGACGACGGGGTGGGTGCTCCTGGTAGAGGGGTGGGAAGGGGATCCTCGTCCTGCAGGAACTGGGACACGGAGGGATGTCTTCGGCAAGGCAGGCTTTTTGGGGGGGGGGTTCCTTGCTGTCCCCCTTGAATTATCCATCCCCTGCTTGTGGCAAGACCAGGGCCTACCATGCAAGCTTTGTTGTTCTTGCTGTGACGTGGCCCTGCCGTGCCTGTGAGCTGTTATGTGTCTTGTGCCCTTCAGGCTGGTGTTACCGACCATGTCACTTCACCAAAACTTCGATGGTTCCAGGTGTTGCTCCCCCTCTGCAGATTTTACGGGGCTCCCCTGCTTTGCATGCCCGTTCTGCCCCCAGTCTTGCTGCCCCTGCTCGGGGACAGCGAGGTGGTGGTGGGAGCTGTTGGGTTGGCCACAAATGGCTCCAGAGCATCAGGGTAGGGGCTCGAATAGCAGAGATCCAATCCTGGAGCGTCGGCAGAGATAACGCCCTGGAGAGGTTGCAGAAAATCCTTAGAGCTGTTAGGTATGTCTTAATCCAACAGGGAAAAAAGCTGCCTTTTTAGGTTTCCTTGTGCTGGATGGGTGATGTGGGGACCTCTTGGGAATGAGCTCTGGGGGGAGGAGGCGGGTGCTGTAGAGCTGAGCTTTGTGCAAGCCTGCTGAGAGATCTTCCCAGCTAGTCAGAGCAGCAGAGCGGGGCTGTTGGCACAGTCGCAGGGTGCGTTCGGCTTCTTGTGATAGCAGAGCCAAGATCCTGGAGTGAAGGTGAATGCTGGTTTTTGAAGCTTTTCATACAAAGCCCTGTGGTTTGCTTCACGCTGTGCCCTTGAAGTGCTTGCTTGGCTCTGGGCTGGAGAGGCAGGCTATGCAAGCTCAAGGGGCTGGCGAGCGTGGCCTTTCCGCCCAGGGCTGATGTCTGTGACACTGTGTTTTAGTGTCAGCAAGGTTTTAAGTGGTCGATCACATCTCCAGGGAGCTCTGACTACTGGCCACAGGCCCCATCTTGGTCAGACAACAGCAAAGCAGTGCAGCTTCAGTGGGAGAAGATTGATTTTTCTGTGTTAAGGAAAAAAAAAATAAAAAATAAATTAAAAAAAAAAGGGAATTTCTAGGGATGTGCTTCCCATCCCAAAGCTGGGATGGGCTATAACCACTGTGAGCACAGCCTTGTGCATCCAAGCATGCAATGGGGAATACAGCAAAGGAAACCTGAGGACAGCCAATATGTGTAGCAGGGATGAATTCTGAATCCTTTGCATGGTTTCATGTATTATTTCAAAAATCCTGCATCCTTTGCAGGCTGCCCTTTCTCCGAGTGGCCATCCTACCATATCACATGCAGTGTTTCTCCCACCAGCATCAACAGATACTGCAGAATTACCAAAAATTGTTTTGTTCAACTGTAGACTGGAAAAAAAAAAAACAAAAAAAAAGTTTCTTCAGCTTGTTTTACCTTCCTACGTAGTTTTCCTTGGTTTGTTACTATGAACGAGATGTGATTTGTGACAAAATAGGCAGCTTGCCACATTTTGCTTCATAAACAATTCGGTGCCCATCATATTACTGCAAACAGCTCTCCAAATGCAGCAATCACTCTAAGACAAGTGTCAGCTGGAAGATTGTTCTTGCTCTGTGCCTTAGGAGATGGCAGGCTGCTCTCGCAGGTTGCTTCTCGTTTTGAGCTGTTACTCCCGAGAGTCTTCTGCACGTTTGGAGAATTACACCCCGGCACTGCCATCTCTCTTCCATCCCGGGTGCTTTCATGGCCTTCCCCAGATTACCTTGCATGTTTGTTTTTAAAATGGGTATCTGGCCTACGTGAGGTGGTCAGACTGATGAACTGAGCCAGGACCTCTGGAACCTGCGAGCCTTCCCTCTAACCACGAGGCCATCAGAATGCCCAGGCGTTGTGCAGGTGTCTACCCGTGCTGTTCCTTCGTGCATTCTCCTCCTAGGGCTGGGATAAATGAGGTCAGGCTCATTTATCTGGTCTGGCCAGGCTTGTTTCTCCACCTTCACAAAACAGAACAAGAATATTCTCATCTGTAGCATTTCTTGCTTCGTTGCTCTTTTCAGCAATTGGTTTTTCACCAGGAAAATTTCAGAGCGATGTCACTGGTGGCGAGTGTGGGCTGGAATATGTTTTGGGAAGTGTGAGATGTTGCTGTAGAAGTTCCTGACAGTGTCACTTTTCTGTGGTGATACTCTGTGCCTGGGAGGGAAACTGTTAGAAGGGAGGATCCTTCACATACGTGAGCAGAACTGCGTAGCTGCAGCCTGCCTCTTTGGGCTGTGGGGATGTTTGTGGTCCTCAGGTATCCTGCTGCTAGGGAATTGCACCAGAGAGGACCAAGTCCAACCCAGAAGGGGCTTTGGCTTTTCTAGAAAAATAACCCTAATTCTCTTTACAAATGCAGTGTTTTCTCGTTTGCGTGGAAAAATCAACATAAATGTGGGGAAAAAAATCTTCATGGGGTTTTCTTCCATCATTTGATTATAACACTCTTGGCTCAATCCCTCTTCTTTTTCTAAATTCAATATTTGCAGGAACTCTTATACCCAGACAGTAACATGTGTGGGCAGAGGGGAGACGAGCAGAGCGCTGGCCAAGTGTCCCTTGGAGTCCTCTGTGGCCTTTCTGTTTTCACTCTGTCTGGAAAGCTGTGATGGTCCAAATGCTATGTTGCAAGGTCCAGCTTAAGAGCAGTTCCTCATGTGTTTTTATCCTTGCAGTTGTGGAGCGTTTTCAGCTGGGTCTGGTGGGGGGGACAGGTGAAGTGCTGTAATTTTGAGCCATAGTTCAGGTGCCTTCCAATCTGTCCTCTAAGAATCTCTTCACTGTGAATTATCTCGATCATCTGTCTTCATATATATTCCATAGGAGCATCTCAGTGCTTGGTTTGTCTTAAATCTCAGGAGTTTATACTTTTCAGGGGCGCCTTGTTCGGGGATTTTAGAAGCTAAAATCTCTCTGCGATGTTTTTTCTGCTCTTCTGTTTTAATTGTTAAAACCTTCTTGTTTGGCTCTTAATGGTGGTTCTTTATCTGGCTCACAGGGGTTTTTAGAAGGCTTCCTTTGGTACTGAATTAGCCAGGAGGACGCAGATAACAAATGCACGTTCCAGACCATTGCTGAGTTGCGGTCTTGAGGTTGGCTGGAGTGCGAGTCTCAAGAGCACTTTTGTTCAGGCTGTGAAAATGAAGTTGGAATGACACCTAGTGGCAAACTGTAACGTGTCCTTGTCCAAGCACAGCCCTCTTCTAGTTACGTTCCCACCGTTCCTGGGGGAGATGCTCTTACAAAGAGGAATCTGGGTTTGGTGCGCTGAGGGATGGTCTTGGACCACACCTGCAGTCTTAGATGTTCAGCAGCCTCCTCAGCGTGGCACCTCTTTCTCCCACGCTGATCCCAAAGGGCAGCATTTTAGCCCACGCGTGAGTCCCGCTGGAAGGGGTGCTGAATGCTGGGGCAGGGACACGTGCGACCAACCCCCAGTGTCTCGAGGAGATTATTCACCAGCACCCTGCCTCGGGGAGACATCTTAGGGGACGCTAGGAGAAAGCGAAGCCTAAAGATGCCGAGGCTGGCGTCGGTAGGTTCGGGACTTCCTCACATCATGAGACACGATGGAGCAGCTCAGGGCGGTGCTTCCCAGCGTGTTCTGTTTCAGGGAAATGCAGATTTAAGGAATAAAGGGAATTCTCGTTGTTTGTCTATTGGAACTTAGCGGCACTGTGTAAAACAATCCCATCATTTTGTCCTGGGAGTTTGGCTGCTCTCTTGGAGAAGAGAATTACGTCTTCAAAGAACATGGCCTGTTGATTCCTTGATTTTTTTTTTTTTTTTTTTTTTTTTTGGATGGTCATTGGAAATGGATGTGAAAAGGTCTTCCAGAAATAACACTAGGAGGTCTACAGACTTGCATCAGATTTTTGTGTGTGTAATGTATTTTTCTATGCATTTTGCTAAAACAGCAATTACTTGTCCACGTTTAATTTCTTTTAACCCTTCTCAAGCTTCTTAAAAACTACCGCGTCAACCCAGTGGCGGTAGAAACCCCCCTTGTTTCAATCCAGAACTCTGTGCTGTTCAACCCTGAGGTTGTGAGAGTGTCCAGATGCTCCTTGCCAGTTCCTGGACCGCGTTGTGCTTGGAAACGCAGAGCTGTACGTGTGGGACAGCTTTACAGCCTCGCCAGGGGTGTAAGCCCAGACAGCAAGGCTCTGGCGTGGGTACTGGTGTGGAAACCAGCTGCAGTGTAGGGCCGGCCTTACATATTTGGTTTGGAAACAATAAACCCTCAAACTCTTAACTTTGGAATTTGGGTATGTCCTCCTTTTAGGTCAGATTTTTTTCTGCTCTGGTCATTTACATTCTTTCTTATACCCAGCTCCATTTCTCAATGCTGTTTTCTAGCCGGGTGTTTGGCTGAAGTACTGGCGTAGTCAACTTTTATGTGATGCACAAACTGGAATGGGAGTTACGCTAAACTCAGTTACTGGGCAGCAACTTTGGCTTTGGCTCTGCTGGAGCCTTCGTGGGACCCGGAGCAAGGCAGAAGCACCCGTATGGTGCCTTGCAGGTGGGAGAAGGCTCCCTTTGAGGACCCTGCAGCGCAGGCTCAGCTCAAGCTGATCGGGTGCAACGTAGGACAACCAGTGCTTGGCTGTTACAGACTCTGTGGGGCCATATTCCTGTTTTAAATGATGATACTAAAGATTTTGGAGGGGTTGAGGCGGGGTAAATTCAAATCTCAATTGTTTGACTTAATTTAGTTTTCGAAATGATGAAAAGCAACGCGGGGGTGGTGTTGGGGCAGGGAGGGGATCACACCCTCTGGAAGAGTTCTGTTCCCTGGCCGCGGTGTATTCCAGATGAGCCCTTGGATTTGCAGGGAGGGTGGTGGTGTCCTGGCCTCTCACCAGCTCGGCTTCATCCCAGAAAATATCACAAAGTGCCTGTACCGCTCGGTGCCGGATACCCAGCCCCAAGTTGCCTACACCACTCTCGGGGGGGTTTTTGGTGCTTTTTTTTTTTTTGACCACTCAGTCTACTCTTTCAGCCTGGATTAAGAACGTAGCTCTTGGGTGCTCCCGAGGCAGGTGCCTGCATGTCAGCTGTGCCTTATTCTTCAGTAAATTTGCCCAAAAAAAAAAAAAAAAAAAAAAAAAAAAAAAGTGAAGCAGCAGGGATGCGCGGTGGCGATGACGTTATGGAGTTCGGTGCCTCCCACCCTCGGTGTCCCTGTGGTGGAGGGATCACAGGAGGCAAGGGGCTGCTGCCTGCCTGGTGACAGTTTTTTTTTTTCCTTCTGCTGTCCTCCCCTGCACCGTGACACTGTAGCTCACCCGTGCGCGACGGGCACGCCGCCGCTCGCTGCTCTTGCGAATGCCGTTGCGCTGTGCTCGTGCGCTGCACGTGGAGATCCACAGCCCCGGCGCGGGGCACTGAAAAGGAGCCGCTCCTGCGAGCACGCCCAGATGCCGTGAGTTTTCCCGTTGCATTTCGCTACGGAAAGACACCTCCCGGGAAGCTCTCGGGACCGGAGGTCGTCCGGCACTTGCTGTTATTTTTGGTCGCCAAATTTCCGGTGCTGGGTTGGAACGGTTTGGAAGTAACTCCGGTCGCATCCCGCCTGTCTCCTAACGGGGCTGTTTTGAGAAGCATCCAGATCTGTGACTTACTTTTCAAGTCCTGTCGTTACACTAAGGACTGTCTTGTAGGATGAGGTCTGAACCATTGTAATTAGTCTGTAACATTCCGATTAGAGTGTACAGAATTATTTATTTTGTGTACTCGGTCTGCTAAACATGTAAATGTATTCTGTGTACCCCACTGCTCTGCTGTCATTACTTCTGGCTGGTGGATCTGCACATGGGCTTGACTGCTGAAAGGCACTGCTTTCTGGCAAGTGAGTAAGCGCGTGGAAAGCCAGGAGCTGCTCACCCCTCTCACATGTTCTTGGAGCACAGCAAGAAGGGACCAAAGTGCCCGTAAAAGAGTTTGTTAAGTTTCTTGAAGGCAGCTTCCAGGCCAGAAGCTGCCTGAGGGAGACTTTATGCAGGGCTGGGATGTCCACGGGGATGCTCTGGGTGAGCCAGGCACTCAGCCTCTTGCTGGAAGGCAGGATTCGGAGGCTGAACAGGCACTTTGGGACATTTTGTTCACTTTTCTTTGGCTGCAAAGTGGCAAACAGGGCCAGAGAAATACCCTGGTTATCCCACAGCAGCTCTCTCCGGTTTCACTCTGAGCAGCTTTTATGGGTGAAGAGGAAAACCTGTAAGATCAAGGGGAAAAATCAAGGAAAAAAACCACCTCTTGTCAACCAGGTCCTCCGGGAAGGGAGGTGATTTTTCAGGGGCGAGGGACCCAGTCCAGCAGTGCCAGGGGTGACAGTGACCTGATCACACGGAGCGAGCGACCCGTCGTGCTGCAGTCGATGAGTTCCCGTCGGAAGCTCCGTGTGGCCACCAGTTCCTTCTGCCCGTGTGGCCCGTCCCCACAGCCCTGACATTCAACTGTCTTTCAAGTCACGAAAGCCAAAACCGGAATGTCCTGCTTTCACGGGACGGGTCTTATTTCAGGTACCACAGAGTGAAAGCACACTCCAAATGTCACAGCAGGCTGGTGGCACTGGTGTGTACTGGGCGCAGCTGCTACTGCCGGCCCCAGGGGAGATTTGCAAGGAGCTCAGCCCCCGTGCCCCTCTCCCCTGCGTCCCGGGTGAGGCTTCCCAAGGCAGGGGAACCTGAGCCAGCAGCTTTTCTGGGGTTTCTCTGCCAGCCCCAGCTCCCTGCTGTAAGTTTGCTCCAGTTGCTCTTGCTCCCTGCAGAGCCGACCACTAAACGAAGCTAAATTTTATCCAACCAAACTAAAACTTATCAGCCCTGGGCTGTATTTGAGCAGCTTTTCTGGGGTTTGGTGTTTTTTTTTATTTGTTGTTTTTTTGGCTTTTTTTAAACTCAAGCATATGGGCCCAACTATCTGTCTTTACCCTCTGTTCATGAGCCATGGGTATGTGTCTGTGTAGCATCGTGCTTTCTTTGCAACTGCTTGGTAGAGAGTGATTGCAGTATTTTGCGGCCTGTGATTCACAAAGCAAAGGTTTTATATCACATTCACATCTCTGGTAAAGTTAAAAAAAAAAAAAAAACATACCTCAGTTGGGATGGTCTGATCTTCCTCCTCTCCTCAGTGTCCTTGTGACCGGCTCTATTTGGAGCTGCCAGGAACCAGGTTTTAATTCATTGACCATGTGTGAACACAAGATTTTTTTTTTTTTTTTTTTTTTTTGCACCTGCCATTGTCTCAGGAACCTGTTCGGGTGAAAACATTGCTTGCTTCTGAAAACCTGTCACCTGGCCTTGAATTTTGTTCCCAGCTTCAGATTTTCCTTTGGGTCGGCCTCGAGTTTCCCACCGTTACCTGGCAAACCCGCGCATGTGAAGCAGCGTGCTGGTCTCCAGCTGCCCCCTCCCACCTTCCCGAAGAGCCGGAGCTGCTGCTGGCTTTTCTCCCTTTCAGCTCTGTGTTCCCAAGCTGTTACACAAGTTACAGCTTCAAATCGCAGGCGAGGATCTTTTAAGCACCCACGCAGCCACCAGCGCCCACCCTCCATCGCAAGCCAAGAGGCGCTTGCTCGTGCTGAGCCTGGGGAGCTCCACGGTCCCTTTCCCGGGGGAGCTGATGGTGGTGGGACCAGCTGGTGCTGGAAACCTGTCGCGGTTTAGGCCTGATTGACAGCCAACCACAATGCAGCACCTCTCTCTCCCTTCCCCTCCGGCAATGAGAAGGGACAGAGAGCCAGGCTTGGGGTTCAAGATAGGACTGGGATGGGGGAAAATCCCCCTTTTATGATCACGAGCAAAAGGCAGACTCGTTAGGGGAAGAAAAAAAAAAACCATACATTTATTACAGACACTAACAACACCTAACAGAGTAGGACAGTGAGAAGCATTGCCACGTCTTGAGAACACCTTCCCCCCACCCCTCCCTTCTTCCCGGGCTCAGCTCTGGTCCCGATATCTCTACCTCCTCCCCCAGTGGCGCAGGGGCAGGGAATGGGGGGTGCAGTCAGTGCTGCCACTTCCTTCATCTTCGGTGAGGGGAGTGTCCGGAACTTGTTCCCCCCTGCTCCATCGTGGTCCCCCTCTCACAGGAGACAGTCCTCCACAAACTTTCTCTGACTTGAATTCCTCCCACGGGCCGCAGCGTTCCCCACACTGCTCCGTCATGGGTCACTAACTTCCTCCGGCTGGATTCCCTCCCACGGCTGCAGCCCTTCCCGAGCTGCTCCGGCGTGGGACTGCCCCGCATGCTGCAATCCTCCCAGTGCTGAATTACAGCAGCGGGGCTGCCTTTTCCCATGAGACCCCGGCCTTCTTTGGGCACAGAACCTTGATCAGCCGAGCAGGAACAACAGGCCATAATTCAATGTCTGCTCCACCGTAGATCTCCATGGGTGGCGGGGGGGGGCCGCCCTGCCGTCTCCCCACAGGGTACAGGGGGGTCTCTGCTCCGGCACACCTCCCCCCTCCTTTCTTCCTCCGTTCCCCCACTGACCTTGGTGTTCACACAGCTGCCGCAGCTCCTCCTCACCAGTCCCACTGCCCGTCACCACGTCCCTTCTTAAATACGTTATCGCAGAGGCGCAGCAGATTGGCTCAATTTTCCAAACAGAGGTGGAGCTGACGTGGAGCTGGGGGAGCTTCGAGAAGCTTCTCACAGGGGGCTGCCCCGATAGCCCCCTCCCCTGCCACCAAAAACTCCACCACTCACTCAACCCAGGACAAAACCTTTGCGATGGGGTCAGGTGGCAAGGCCGTCACAGCGAGCATCACCCCCCCCCCCCAACGCTGCGGTGGTCTCTGGGCTGGTGCCAGGCTTGAAGACCCCCCCCCCCCCCCCTTCCCCGAGCCACAGCCAGCCCTGCTCCCCGCTCTGCCTGTGCATCATGGCCTTTGCACCTTCCCAGCTGGGCACCGAGCTCCAGCTCTGGGGGAGGTGCTGGGATCAGGAGGGGAGCGCCCTACCACAGGGTGCCCCAGGCTTCCCCCCCGGCCCCGGGTCTGCATCGCGGGAGGAAAGGAGCCAGAGGCAGCGGTTGGCACAAAAATGCTAACGCTTTATTAGGAGGTGGGGGGTGCCTTGCTTCCAGCTCAGCTGAGCTCACCGTGCCGGGAGCAGCGCCTGGCGAAGGGATCCCTCCGGGCCCGGCTCTATCCCTGAGCGACAATTTGGTTGATCCAGTTTCGGAACAGGCTGACGCGGGTGTAGACGGCCGGCATGCGCACGTTGCAGTTGCTGTTTCCGAAGGAGACGATGCCGATCAAGGTCCAGGTGCTCCCAGTCTGGTACACCAGAGGTCCGCCAGAGTCACCCTGGGGAGGAAAACCCCTCTTGCTTAGTGGGCCCAGCGCCTGCTCCAAACTGGTCCCTGCCACCCTGGGCACCTGGGTCACGGCCAGGTGCTACGCCTTAAATCTCTGGCTTTACGGAGGCGAGACCCCACGTGTTGTCGTCCTCCTCCCTCCCTGGGGTGCAGCGGGGGGTTCAGCTCCTTACCTGGCAGGAGGAGGCACCGGCCCCGCCGGCACAGAGCATGGAGTTGGTGATGCGGTTGCCCCAGTACTGCATGCACTGGCTCGTGGAGATCAAGGGCAGGGTTACCTGCTGCAGGCGCGTCGCCAAGGCTTGGGCTAGGGGGAAAAAAAGCACCGTTAAATCGCCCTGGCGCTGGCGGGTCCTCAGGGACCTGCGGGAGCGCCCGGGCACCCTGGGGCAAGCTCCCCAAACACAGGGGTTGCTGCCATGCGAGGCGCTTTCCCCCTCCATGCCGACGTGCCCCCTCTTTCCTCGGGCGAGCAAAGGCAAGCTTGGGCCCGTGCACGGTCATCCCTCGCCTCTGCACGCGCCTACGCCCGTGCGCCTGCCCCAACGCGCGCGTCCGCACGCTTCTCTGCACCCAGACGGGGTGACTCCACCGCCCAGCTCCCCCCTCCTCACATGCACACGAGGCGTCCCCCCAATCCAGGGGCACCCCCGGACCCTGCAGACACCCCCCCCCAGCCCAGGGAGGGACGGCAGCCCTCCCCGAGGCTGCGGCTCTACGTACAGTTGGGGTTGGTGCGTCCCCAGCCGGTGGTGACGCAGGGGAGGTTGGTGGGCAGAGCCAGGTTGGGGGGGGGCAGGCAGACGGGGGACACGCTGGGGCCCAGCTGGGCGGGCGAGGAGAGTTTCAGCAGGGTGATGTCGTTGTTGAAGGTGTTGGGGTTCCAGTTGGGGTTCGTGATGGCCTGCCGAGAAAGACAGGAAGGCTTCATCCCCGCCCGCCGGGAGCAGCCGCGGTGCAGAGCTGCAGCCCCGTCCCAGGACAGCGGCCGCGTCAGCTTGGCTCACCCTGGACACGGTCTTCACTTGAATGGACTCCGAGTTGGAGCGGAGGTCGTATTCCCCGAGGACGACGACGTGGGAGTACGGGCTGCGAGAGGTAAAGTGAGTCAGGGGGGACGCGTGGCGGCCCCCACGGGGGGGTGGGAGCCGCACCGGGCGCGCTGCACTGTGTGCCCAAGGGAAGCCACCGTGGGCACAGCCGAGGAGGGAGCCGGGGTTCCTCGGGTGCTGGCCTTTGGGCCCGTCCCAAGAGCTGCTTGGCGACGGCCAGTGCTCCCCGAGCCCCTGTCCCCTCCCGGTCTGGGCCAGGCCGGGCCTCGCTCCTCACTTGAAATTGCAGTGGGCAGCTGTGACGACCCAGTTCTGGTTGATCAAGGAGCCGCCACAAAAGTGGGATCCCGAACGGGTCTGGAGGGGAAAGAGGGAGGAAGAGCTGGGGCTGGGCAGGCAGAGCTCCCCTCCCTGCTCGCCGTGCCACTGCGGGGCGCGGGGGCTGCCCGGGGAGCGGGACGGTGCCGTACCTGCAGGGACACCTGCCAGGGCCACGAGCCGGGCACCGCGTTCTGCCCGTTGATGATCCTCTCGCTGTAGTGCACCGAGGGGCTGACGGCGGGCACCCCGCAGCCTGCGGGAGAGGAAAAAGGGCACAAGGGTGACCCCGGAAAGCTCAGGCACCCGTGGCTCGGTGTCACTGTCCCCAGGGTGCCCCGGTCCCGCTGCCCCCCCGAGGTACATCCCCATGGCTCTGGGCAGCACTTACCTGAAACGGTGCTGGCAAGGGCCAGGCAGGCAACTGCCCACAGAAACGCCATCCTGGCAGGACAGTACCGTGTCCCCAGGGCCACGAGCTTTATAGCAGCCGGGAGCCACGTGGCTCGTAGCCAGGCAGGGCAAGGTCCCCCCTGCCACCTTCTGCCAGCTGCGGGCAGCCAGTGACGGGCCAAACCTGGCACCCACCTTGTCCCACGCAAGCGGGGACGCGGGAACGTGCTGCCAGAAGGCCCCCGGGGTGCCTGGGCTACTGCTGTAACGAGTTGTGTCAGTACTTAACAGCAGCCTGCGGAGCTGGAGGGGTGGGGGGAGCACCCCAAGGCTGTGGGGGGGGGCACGCGGGGGGCTGCTTGTGATCACACAGCTGGGGGAGCAGTGGGGCTGGACGGCAGCGCCTGGGGTGTGGGAGGTCACCCCGTCCCCGGGGCCCGTTTCAGATCCGTTTGGCACCAGAGCTGTTTTCCCTTGTGGCTGTGATGCCCTTGGCCTGGGACATCACTGGTCCCAGCTGGCCCTTCCCAGGGCCACCCCTTGAACCCCGGCCCTGGTGCAGGTGAGCCTGTCCCAGGGAGCCAGCGGGGGCAGGTGGGGAGGGCAGACACCTTCCCAGGCAGGAGGATGTCGTGGCCAGCGTGGCGAGCTGGGCAAGCACACCGCCGGCCCCGGGGAGGGCAGCGGGCACCTCTCGGAGCTGAGGTTGACCCCTCTGCCTGAGCATCCCCTCGCCTCCGCAGCTGCCTGACCCCTCACCCCCGGGCTGCCCGCTGGGGAATAGTTCGGTCCTCTCCATCCCGGGGTGTGGGTAGTGTCTCCATCATCCCCCCACGTCCCCGGGTGATGCTCCCCAGGTAGCACCGGGTGCAGGGAGCCATCCCCGGGGTGATGCTGAGCACAGGGATGGATGGATGGATGGATGGATGGATGGATGGATGGATGGATGGATGGATGGATGGATGGATGGATGGATGGATGGATGGATGGATGGATGGATGGATGGATGGATTCCCCCCCCCACTCTCTGTGCCACCCCTGCCCTGACCCACTAGGGAGCAGAGCCTGGACACTGGTGAGCGATTGCAGAGCTCAGGCCTTTATTTCTGGCAGTGGTGCTGTGCAAAGGCGGCAAGATCCAGCCCACCACGAGGCGGGAAGCGTGGCAGGGCGTGGAGGTCTCCCGGGGTGCTGCAGGTGCCGGCAGAGAGACAGGCTTTGCTCCTGATCTTCGCGTGGTGCCTGGGGAGGAGATGACCAAGGGCTGGACAGCAGCAAAGGCTGGAGGAAGAGCCAGTGCCCAGGGCGGTGCTGCCTGTCAGGGAGGAACCTTGGGACAGGAGGATGCTCGGACGTGCCAGACGCAGCCGTGGTTCTCCCAGAGGCTGGAAAGTCTTGGATTCCAGTCCTGTCTTGGATGGTGGCAAAAGAGCCGGGGCTGGGAGTCGGGCAGGTCAGCAAGAACTCAGCGCTGTCCCTTCACGCCAGCTGGCATAGAGTTGACGGCACGACCCAGGGTGGCAGGACCCCCCTTATGCCCTTCTCCTCTGCGGCCGTGAGCCGTGATGAGCTGGCTGGGCTGCTCTCCGCTGTCCACGCAGGGCCCAGGCCGGTGGAGCAGCCACACCAGCCCTCTGGGCTGAGCCAAACCAGAGGAAGACATCCCCGTGGCTAAAACCCTCCTCCAAGGCTGGGTCTAGCAAGGCTCCAGTCTGCCTTGGAGCTGGGGCGGTAACAGACCCCATGGCTGGGACACGCTGGCTCAGAGGGCTGTCTGGAGACTCAGGGAAACCCAACTATAGCTCTGCGAGCCCCACAGAGACGTGGACTCACCCCGGGTGCAGGCTCCTGTCCTTTGCTCTGCGGCTCTTCTTTCTCCTGCAGGCAACAGGCCAGACCAGAGCAGCCCCCAATTACTGCCTCAGCAGGCCAGCAAAATAGCTATGGGTTATATTTTCTCCTAACCCAGGACTCCTGGGACTGGTGCCTGCAAGGGGCAGTCGGCTCAGCGAGGCAAGACCAAAGGAGGACGGCGCGTACGCGGGCTGTCCCCAACACAAGGCAAGCTGCTGCACGCGGGGGGATGCCACGTGTCACCTCCATTCTCCCCACGCGCAGCCTCGGAGATGGCCTGCATGGTCCGTACATCCGTGGGGGGCACCGGGGAGCCGGCTGCGGGGCGTGGGGTCAGGCACACTTGCCCTTGCGAAGGCAGAAGGGCAGCTCCGGCGCGGGGACCAGGATGGTGCTGAAGATGGGCCGGTAGCTCTCGGGCAGGACCTGGGGGTGCTGCGCCATCATGTCCAGCACCATGTGCCGCACGTCCTTGGAGACGTCACCCCGGAGGTCCAGCAAGGTGGAGATGTGCTCATCGCTGGGCAGAGAGCAAGAGGTGAGTCCGAGCTGGCCCACGGCACCGTCCACAGTGCTCGTGTCCCACAAAGCACCCACGATCCAGAGAAGCTGAGCTGAGGCCGGGGGAGAGCCGGTACTTTGCACCGGCCAAACTTTGTTTGCCAAAAAAAAAAAAAAAACCCACCAACCCACAAAACTTGAGAATTTGGTTTTGAGACTTCATGGGTTTCAGCTGATTCTGACGTTACCAATTTGGTGTTTTGTGATTTCTCACGCTTTGCTTGGCCACCCAATACAGATGGGTGAACGCCACAGCAGAACTGCTTTTTCCTTTACATCTTTGCCTTTGGGACTTTGCAAGAACCCCTCAAATCTGGAACATGGGAAAGGAAACCTCGGGGAGGAGGGAGAAAAAGCCCAAGTTTCTGCTTGCTCTGCAGCGTAACCACATAGTGTTCAGCCCAAGTCTGGCTTCCCTGGGCAGATGCGCATCTACCCCATCTCGTGGGAGAGCTGAGCTGGGCTTCTTACCTCACGTCGGGGTACTTGGTGGTGAAGCCCAGCACCTCCAGGCTGAGCAGTGCCGGGTCTTTGAGGCAGATCAGCTCCCGCAGGGCAAAGACGGCCTCCAGGCTCTGCTGGCTCTGGGCCAGGCCCTGGGAGGGAGAATGGCCACATGCAAGACCGGGGCCGGGGTGGGGGGGGAGGCCACCGTGGTGGCTAGTGAGCAGCAGCCCGGTCCTCAGTGCCCACCCCAGCGTGAGATGAGGCCGTGCAGCCTCGCTGTCCCACGCCGGGCAGGGTGACCGGTCCCACGAGTCCCTAATCCAGCTTGTTCCTCCCATCCCGGCCCCGCAACTGCCCAAGTGTCCCAGCCCTGTCTTGTCCCTGCTCTGCTGCACCCACCCCGTCTGCCGTGGGTGGGCCAGAGGGGAGCGGCAGGGTGAAAGACGTGACTGATTTGCTCCTCGCTGGGCGATTCTCCCCTCCCACGGCCCCCCCCCCCCCCGGGGCACCCGGGGCACCTCTCACCAGGCCACAGAAGAGCTCCCGGAGCTGCGTGGCGTCCTGCAGCAGGCGGTCGCCGAGCTGGCCCCGCTCCTCCTCGCTCCTGCACACCATCTTCTTCTGCATGAGCGCCCGCAGGTACTGGCTGGCCACGAGGAGCTCGCTCTCCGTCAGCAGGAGCTGGGCAGGGGAGAGCTGTTAGCGGGGGGGGGCATCGCCTGGGTGTCAGACCCCCCCCCTCCCCCCCCACCCGGGGAAAGGGGCTTGACCCGCTGAGAACCCCCCCCCGCCCCGGCCAGAGAAGATAGAATTTGGGGGAAACCCTGAACATCTCCGCGGCAAACCCAGCAGCAACCGCATCCTGCACCCCAGCACAACCGCCCAGCCTCCTCGCCCTGGGGGCGAGCGGCCCTTTGAAGGACACCCCCCCCCACCCCGCGGCAAGCCTACCGTGCAGACGGGTTTCCTGACGCGGGAGAAGTCCTTTGCGTATTTGTCAATCACTTCGCACATGCTGCTGACAAGCTGGGACCCGGAGAGCCACTTGCGGGAGGGCAGCTGCAGGCAGAGGGGCTGGAAGGAGCAGAGGGGCAGCCGGCGCCACAGCATCCCGCGGCCCCTGCCCGCCCGCGCCTCTGCTTTGCCTTGCAAAACCCCCCCAGGCCCCCCCGCTGCCAGCCAAAAGTCGACATAAAAATAGAAAGGGGGGTGTGGATGTGTGTGTGTGGGGGGGGGGGGGGGGTATAAATTAGGAAATTAGGGGAACGCCCTGGGGCTGCCCCTCCCTGACACCCGGAGATCCACGTTGTGGGGATTTATCTGGGTCACGGTGCCCCATCGTGGGCAGCACCTGAGGTCTGGGCAGCAAGCTGCTCCTCACACATTTGCTTTTAGCCTGTCCTGCTGTGTTTTTATTTTCCATTTCCACTCCTCACCGCTTCCGTTGCATAGACATAACATGGTTTTGGCCGAGGGCTTTGACCTCCTCCTCCCCTCCTGTCCTTGCCAGTTTTCCTGCCTGCAGGCAGACATTCCCGCTCTGTCTCTGCTGGGGCCATGGCAGTTTCCACGCTGCCTGCGAACGTTTCACCCTTTGGCTGCTCCTTTGTTTTCATGGCATTCAAGCCCTAAATAGCAATGCCGTTAATTATTCCAGATTTTTGGTCCAGACTCCAGGAAAGCTAAATTTGACTACACTGGCAGGAAACGGCTCAGGCAGTCGCGCACGGGCTTATATCCTCTGCACAGACATTGCCTCTCTCCTGTTGGTTTTCTGCCATGAAACAGCCATAAAAAGGAGCTTGGAGTGGGGCTGTGGCTCCTGGTCTCAGTCGGTGAGTGGTTTGGGGGCCACAAGCCGTCTGCCCCAGCGATCCAGGGCAGTGCTGGCTGGCGACAGACGTTTACCAAGGTCTGGGAGCCGGGCTGGCAGAGGTGGCTGCAGGATGATAGCAGGCCACGGCGTGCGTGGCAGGGACCCTGGGCAGGAATAAACCCACGCCCGGGGGTGTAGCACTAGGGCTGTTCTTGCTGGGGCCGGCTTTGTTGCAGCCCTGCCAGCCCCAGGGGCTGCGGACAAACGTACCTGCAGGTCCAGGAGCAGCTCCTCCAGCAGCAGCTGGCAGGCTTTCTTCTGCGTCCTGTCTAGAGCAGCCCGGAGGGACGCAGGGACTTCTCCGTGGGCAGCGTTGGGGTGCAGGGAGGAGACAGAGGAGCTAGGAGAGAGAGAAGAAGGGGAGAGGTAGCCTGAGAAGCTCGGGGGGGCCACCGGTCCCGCAGGAGGATGGGGAGGACGTGGCTTCCTTGTGGGTGACGAGGTGGCTACGAGGTGGGGGTGGCCCTTACCTGAGGGCCAGGTTGTTGTTGAGCATGGCCAGTAGGTAGGAGACGTAGTACTTGGGTATGGCACGGTCCTTCTGGTGCTCCTTCCCGCACTGCACCAGGGCTTCCCGCAGACTGCAACACAGCGAGCCAGCCACCATGGGTGGGCAGACCACCCCCCACCCGGGGCCTGGCGCTGGGATGCTCCTGGGGGGGGGCACGGGGACCTCCCACAACCCCCTCCCAGCTCACTCGGCTCTTTCCAGGTCCTGCCACCAGGCTGGAAGAGTGAGAGGTTGATGGGCAGGGTGGGACAACGGGACCCGCTGTGGACCCCTCGGGACTGCAGGGGCACTGGGGGCCAGGCAAGCCCTGGGAGCTGACGGCCCCAGGGGCTGTGACAGTAGCCCTGTGGGCAGGCAGGCTGCTGAGCCTTCTGGGCGCGGGATGAGCGCAGCGTTTCCCCGCTGCAGATCTCCACCATCAGCCCTAGGGTGCTTGGCCACGGGACCCAGGGTCTGGGAGGGTGGGCAAGGGGTGCGAGGGGCTCCACTGACCGGCCCAGAAATGCCTCAAGCTCCTCCAAGGCCATGTTGTAGACCTTCTGCTGCAGGGAGTCCGTGATCAAGGAGGCCACCTGGATATTCTCATTCAGCATCTGCAGAGGGAGAGGGGAGGTGTCAGCGAGAGGCTGCAGGCCACGGCCCCCCCTTTTTGGGGGCTCTCAGCACGGGCGGTGCCCCAGCGGCACCCACCTGCATGACAATGACGGGCAGGGCCGACTGGAAGAAGCCCTGATGGTCCGTCTCGGGTTCCTCTTCCCTGAACCACTCCTTGAACTCCACCTCCAGGGTCCTCTGCATCCACTCGAGCACGCTAGCCTGTGGGACGGACGCCCACCACGGTCAGCCCGCGGTGTCGGGTACCAACTCCCTTGAAAGCCAGCACACAGCAGCGAGTCCTGCGCCTCGTCCCGCGGGCTCAGGGTCTCCCGCTGCTGTCAGAGCAGATGCTGGCTCGGTGGTGCTCACTGGGTCCCTGCCACCCCCTGACCGTCCCGCTCACTCACCTTGACTTTCACCACGTATTTCCTCTCTGTCTGTTCCACCAGCTCGGGGGACAGCAAGGGACCCAGAGCAGAAACATCCACTTCTGGGAGAAGGTCAGGGTGACCCATCATCTCCGGGCTGGAGGGCAGAGGTGGAGACAGGGCCTGTGTTTTCCAGCAGTTCCTACCTCTCCCTCTGCCCTCCCCGTTGTCATCCCTAGGGAGCTGCCAACCCGCCCGCGGGCTGGGGGGACGACCCGGCTCTCCACAACCTCCCCTGCTTGGCTGGTGCTGGGGCAGGTGCTGACCTCTGGTACACACGAAGCGCCCACTCAAGGAGGAGGAAAAGCCCCTGTTTGTCCAGGTCCTCTCGGAGGATGTCCTGGAGGTGGCTGGTGAGGGCCTGGTGGTAGGTGGCAGTGCAGACGCCGAGGATGTTGTAATGAGCTGGGACGCACTGGACCATCAGGTCCTTCACCACACGCAGCTCAGACACGACGTCCTTCTGCAGCGCCGCCAGGTGCCTGGCCAGCCCTGGCCCCTCAGCGTCCGTGCGGGCAGCATGAAAGTGGGCTCCTGTGATGGCCTCCTGGAGAACGTGGTAAAACTTCTGCCTCCAGCCCTTCGGGCGGCCGGGGGGCAGGAAGGTGGCCTCCAGGAGCAGCGTATCATCTATTTTCTCCTCCCGCTCGATGATCCTTACGGCGGTGACGAAGAGAACCGGGTCCTCGCGCACCAGCCGCAGGCTGCTGCCCACGATGTCCCACAGCTGCTTGGCCAGGCTCTCGTTGAGCTCCTGCAGGCCACCGAAGTAGGAGAGCACGGTTGGCTGGGCACTGGAGAGCCCGCGGAGGTGCAGCTGGGAGAGGATGTCGTCCCGGAGGTGCTCCATCATCATGAGCTCCGCGTGGGCCTCCAGGAGGTGCTGCCCACGGAGCAGCTGCAGGGTATGGGAAAAAACCTCGTGGACTGTGGGAGAGGGAGGAGAGATGCCGGGATTGAGCGCGGGGGGCAAAGGGGCTTGGCCCCAAAAGGGTCATGGGTGCGGGTTAGGAGGGAGATGGTGAGGGGAAGGGTCTGAGATGTGGGGCTCTGGGAACACCGTGCTGGATCAGGCGCTGGGGAGGCAGCGGCTTCTCCGTCCACGGAGACTTTCCAAACCCAACTGGCAAAGCCGGAGCAACCTGCTCTAGCTTCGCCCCCAGCCCTGCGCGGAGCCCGGGGTTGGGCTGAAGTTCTCCCCCGTGCCTTCCAGCCCAAATCCACGAGGCCAGTGCCTTACCCGAGAAGAGCTGGGGCAGCACCTGGACCACCGAGGCCAGCTGCACGTGCTCCGCCATCAGCGCCCGCATCTGCTGGAGACCCTGGAAGCGGTCTGCGCCGTCGAGCAGGGCCCACCGCGCAGCCCCCAGGTCCTGGCACACGCTCTGCACCGCCTGGGCCGCCGACCGCAGCTGCTCCAGCCCCGCACTTACCCCCTCCAGGTAGGACTGGACAGTTGACTGGGGAGCAGAAGAGGACGGAGGGGCAGTGGAGCAGCTCCCAAAGGCTGGAGGACTCGCACACCGTTTGCCCCAGCGCCACAAGGTGCACTCTCCCGGCCCCAGGAGCTCACACCTCCTTCTGCCATCGTACCATTACATCTCCCAGACCTTCTGCGATGACCCCCATCCCATCAGAGCCCAGCACACCCAGCTTCAAGACACCCGCTCCAGCAGCAGGAATGGCTTGTCGGGGGTTGGGGGAGGTGGAGGGAGGGGGGCAACGGCTGCTGTGTATGAGGCAGGAGAAGGGCATCACTTTGGGGTGACCGAGGCAGCAGGGTGAGCAATAACCAGATGTCTCCTTTCGGTTTTAAAAGATTACTTTGCTTTTGCAAAACAGCAGCAGGTCACAGGGCCGCCGTGTGCCCCCCCCAAGGCATATTAATGGCATGAAGCACCTCGGTGGCCATACGAACCCCCGCCCCAAATGGATTTCCATCTTTCCCAGTCCTGCAGCGGCACCGGCACATCTCTGTGCCCTATACGCCCATTTAACTCCCAGCTCCTGCTGCCAAGAAGCACTTTTACGCAGCATCCCCAGAAGCAAGCTGTTCTCTCGGAGGCTAACATCGCTTAAAACAAGTTGCCCCCTGGTCAATTCACCCGCATTCAGGAAGGAGAAACCATCTCCAGCATGATCAGAAGGTTGGGGCGCTCAGACTGATGGGGTCCTGAGGTTAATTGTTTCTCAGGTTATGCAAAATGGGTGGCCCTGAGCAGGGAGGCGTGCACAGGGACCGGGTACAGCCCCTCCTGGTGTGTGTAGAGATGGAGTTTCTCCCGCAGGGATCCGTGGGCAGGGACAGGTTGGAGCTCCCAGCCGGGAGGAAGGGGAGCCTTTGGTGATGGGGAACGTGCTGAGGTGACGGGGAACGTGCTGAGCTCGATGCTTCCTTTTGAAGGATGGTCAGAGAGACGGGGAGACTCATTTTAACACTTCAGATGCTGCCCAGGGGTAGGGCAGGGAGGGGTGCTGGGGTTTACTGAGATCTTTTCCCCCAGGCGATCTCATTCCTCCCACCAAGCGCCAGCCATAGGACAAGGTTTTGCCAGAAGTGGACACAAAGATGGTTCGACGCAGAAAAGGGGACCCTGGCTGGGATCCCTGCTTGGGGGGGCGGGGGGGCAGTGAGGCTGTAGGCACCCCTGGGGTGGGCTGTGGCAAACACCCACCTTCAGCCGGGACTGGATGGAGCTGTTCCTCTGCATCTCTCGGCTCCGGTACTGCCCAAGCCCCTCCAGTTTCTCGGGGCGGTAAAACACCCCTGAAGCCCATTTCAGAGCAGCTCCTCTCGCCAACTTCTCGGCCTTCTCCGCTTCCGGCCACTCCTCATCTGGGGATGAAGCCAGGGGTTAATGAGCGCAACGAAGCTGCTCCCTGCGGGGCAGGAAGGGCCCCTGAGGCCAGGGGCAGGAAGCTGGCGCCATCGAAATTCCAAGCACACCCAGATGTGGGAAGTGGGAGAGCCTGGCAGTGAGCGGGCCCTTCCACGACGGCCCCCTCCGAGGTGCCACCGCCGCGGGCTGGGGTTGTCACAGCGGCTGTGGCAGCGAGAAGGTTGTCCTGAGGAGCTGTCACCCAGCCTGCCAGCTCGGGCTGTGTGTGTGTGCGTGTGTGTGTCCCCTATCCCCCCCCGGCTGAGCGCACGTCCCCGTCGCTCCCCCCAAACGCAAGGCTGGGTTGTGTGAGGGGGGGTCTGCTGAGGCAGGGCTGAGGCTTCGGCAGTGAGTCAGCAGGAGGGGATGGAGGGGTGGCAGCCCTCGCACGAAGGCGACCCAGGCTGAGGGGAGGACGGGAGGCTCACGGCCTCTCAAAGGCACCCACGCAGCCGTGGGGTGCCATGGTGTCCCCCGCAGCGTCCGCAGGCTGCCTGGCCAGAGCGGAGAGCCGAGAACCAGCTCTCCGTGCTCTGCCCGCACGGGCACCCTCAGGGACGGGGGTGGCCAGCGGCTTTGAGGACAAGCCGCGTGGCGAGCACCGCTGCCCCCGCCGCCGTTATCCCCATCGGGAAGCAGAGCCGGGCTTCCACCCCGCCAAGCGCACAAGGCGGCACAGGAGCGGGGTATTGGGGGGGGGGGGGGGGCTGAGGTGAGGCAGGGGAGTCCCCAAAACGTGCTGCAAGCAGTAGCATCCCTCCCCTGCCCAGCGCGGCCAGCTCCCCGGGTGCGGGGGGGGGGGGGGGGGGCCGCATCGTCCCCGTTACCTCTGGGGCCGGCGGCGCGCTCGTCCCCCGCGGCCATGCCCATGGTCTGCAGGCTGTGCGAGCCGCGGGGGCCGGGGCAGGGCTGCGCGGAGGAAGCCGGCAGCCGTTTCCTCAGCCGGGAGCCGCCGCTTCTCCTCAGGGCTTCCTTGTGCTCCCGCAGCCGCGCTGAGGGGGCGTCGGGGGCGGGAAACACCCCACACCCACACCCACACCGGGGAAGGGCACCGGTGCCCGGCTCGGGGGGGGGACAAGCGGGGGTGCCCCCGAGGGACACCGGGCCGGTGCTTCCCGCAGCGGGACGGAGCGGGCAGGCGGTGTGTGTGGGTGTGTGGGTGTGTGTCTGTGTGTCTATGTGTGTGTGTCTGTGTGTGTGTGTCCTCACAGCCACAAAACGCCCGCCCCGGGGCTTGGGGAGGGGGGGGGGGGGTCGCCCCGGCGCTGGATGTTTTAACGCGTTTCCTCACACCGCGGCGGGGGCGAGGACTTGGGGGGGTGGGCTGGAAGTTTAGCTGGGGTACCCCGGGAGGCTGAGGGGGCGGCGGGGGCGCCGCCGGGGTGCCGCGGCCCCCTCAGGGAGCGCCCCCGTCCCCGTCCCCGCCCCGGAAGGCGCGGCCTCTCCCCGCGGCCCGGGAAGCGGAAGCGCGGCGGGGCCGTGAGCCGGCGGGCGGGCAGATGGCGGAGTGCGGGCCGCAGCCCCCCGGGGGTGGGAGCGGGGCTGCGGGGGCGCCGAGCCGGCACGAAAAGAGCCTGGGGCTGCTGACCACCAAGTTCGTGTCGCTGCTGCAGGAGGCCAAGGACGGCGTGCTCGACCTCAAGCTGGTGCGGGGCGGGGAGAAGGAGGGGGGGGGGGGGTGTGGGGTGTGTGTGCTGCCGCCCCGGGGCCGGGCTCCTTCCCCCCCGGGGGAGCGGAGCTGCGGCGAGCCCGGTGCTCCGGGGGCCGGAGCGGGTTTAGAAGGAGAGTGAGGGGTGGGGAGTCGGGGTCCCCACGGTCCCGGCCGCTGCTCCCCCCCCCCCCCCCCCGAGCGGTCCCCGGGCCCGGCGCAGCACGGAGCGGTCCTTGCCTGACGTCCCAGGCGTTTCCGTGCTGCCCTCCGAGCGCCTTTTGGCCCCTTCTGCCTTCTTGCCCCACACCAAGGCGCTCCTTAGTCACTGGCACCACAGTGATCCACCCTCCGAAGCCTCTGAGGCCTATAGAAACGGATAACCTATAGGAAGTGCTCCTCCCCGCTGTGCTTAGCCCCCCTGGCATACAGCAGGAAGGGGAGAGTGCTAGGATCCATCTCCGCCACAGGTTGGTTGTCCCTGGCGCCTTTAGGCTGCGGGCAGTTGCCCTCTGAGCGGGTCTTGCTTCTGCATTTTAAAGATCTTCATCTAGAGGAAGTAACTCTGGCCTTGGGGTGTGTACGGTGCTTAAACGGCGGCCTTTTCTACAGGTGAAGTTCCTTGGCTGTGGGTTAGACAAACACCTTTCAGGTGGGTCCGTGTGCGAGGGCGCTCCGACCCTCCGCAGGCAGTCGGCAAGTGCCAGAAAGCCCCGAGGATGTAAGGGTGGGGGGAGTCCCCCGGCTGTAGACTTCTGTCCTCTCCTGTGCCAAGCCGTCGTCTCTTTGGGTTTGGGCAGTATTTTCCTGCTTAAAATATCCATGAAGTTCGTATTTGTTAGTGTGATTTGATCGGTTGTGCGGTGTAGGGCCTCCGAAGTCCCAGTCCGTTGCGAGGGAATTGCTGGTGTTGGTCCTGGCTGTGCGGGTGCAGCACAAGTTAACCATTGCCAGTGCTAGGTTGCTGTGCAGGGGTGGAAACTGTACAGTCTGGTGTGTCCCGAAACCCGAGAGGAGGAGAGTCCTGCAAGCAAGGCAGGGAGGCCCCAGAGCTGCTCAGGAGCTCCTCCCTGACAGCCAGGCTTGCTCTCCTCCCAGCCCTGTGTCTTTCAGAGGAATCTGCCCCTTGAAAAGGTGTTGATTGTCTATCAAGCGGCATCAGAGCAGATTTAGAAAAGACCTTCTGAATGTCAGCTTCGCTAAACTGTTGTCGGTTGCACAGAGAGCTCTCCGCATTCCTCTTCCCATCCCCACATCTTTTACCCTGAAGGAGCACTGGATTTTTAGGCTGCCAGACAAGTGTCTTCTAGCACTGCTTTGCTGCTGAGGAATGGTGGTTTTTGGACCCACCGATGAGCGAGACGGCTGGAGTTTGGTTTGTGCTTAGTGGGCAGGTGGCTGGGTAAGAAAAGGAGCGAAGGGTCAGTGGCTTCTTCTCATGGTTGTGATAACACTGGGAACATGGCTTGGTAATTTGAGGCGCTGGGACATGAGAGGTATGAGATGGCGAGCAGAGTGCTTGGCCAGGAGTTAATGTGACAGGCAGGAAGGAGCAAAACATGACAGAGAGTTTGGAGTTAAGTGTCTAACCTTTTTGCAGGCTGCGGATACCTTGGCTGTGCGACAGAAGCGACGGATCTATGATATCACGAATGTCCTGGAAGGCATCGGGTTGATCGAGAAGAAATCCAAGAACAGTATCCAGTGGAAGTGAGTGACAGAGAAGGTCTAAGTCGTTCAGAGATCCCTGCTAGCTCAGGTCTAAGTGACACTGGGGTTAAAACGCCCTGCCCAGAGCACGGTTCCTCAGTGGTTCGTGCATGCTTGTGCTTCCCTCAGCTGGGCTGTGCTGATGGTAGTAGGGAGAAAAGCTGAAGTACGTATGGTGTGCCTCTCTTACAGCGGAGCTGTTACTTTGGTACAGACTAAGTATTTGCAGCGCCTTGGGCTAGAAAAGATGCCTGTCATGGCACTGGAGCTGGGGGAGAGCCCTGCCAGTCTGTGGGATGTAGGAAGGTGTACCAAATGTTGCTGGAAGATGGGGATATAGAGCGGGTACAGATGAGGGTTTCTGGGTGATCTGGCCTTGATGTAGGACAAGGGTGACACTCAGGGAGGTGACAACCTCTCTGAGAGGTTGGGGCTGGTCTGGGTGCCTCCAGAGGCTGATGCATGTCCCTCCTTTTTCCGTTGTCCAGAGGGGTGGGTCCTGGCTGCAACACACGTGAAATAGCTCACAAACTTATCGAGCTGAAGGCAGACATAGAGGATCTGGAGCAGCGGGAGCAGGAGCTGGAGCAGCAGAAGATGTGGGTTCAGCAGAGCATCAAAAACGTTACGGAAGACGTGCAGAACAGTCGATATCCTTTGTGTGAACTGATTACTCTGTCCCCCTGTTCGCTTGCTGGGCTGGAAAGCAGAAACCTGAGGGCTGGGTTGGTGCTGCCCTACTCAGGGCGGAGGGGTGGTGGTGACCCGTTATTGCTGGAGGACCTGTACTGGAAGGGTCGAGAGGCAGTGCCTGGCTTTGAAATTAGGGTGACTGTCCAGCGCGGGAACTGGCTTTCTCTGCAGCGCGCAGCTTCTCGTCTGGCTTTTTGAAGTAAAAACCACTGTAGTGTTTACAGTGATGAGAAAAGTGCTTCTCTCCGAGCCACAGGTGCCACTTTCTTGAGCGCAAAGCTGCTCTCGCGGCTTGCCTGTCTTTGGATGTCAGCTCTGACGAGCGTGTAGCCTGCAGACCACTTCAGAGTGTGGCACAGAGCGCCTTCTGGGAATGGCATTTCTTGTGCTCAGGAAGGAAACGCCAGGTGCCCTTGAGTTCTCTGTCTGCATGGGAAGCTGCAGCCTTTCTCCTTAACCTTAAAAACATTAGCGTATGTGACACACGAAGATATCTGCAAGTGCTTCACAGGTGAGGAGATGGCTCTCCCTCAGAAAGCTGTACCGCTGCGGTCCGCTCGGTCTGTCCCAGCCGCTCTCCCTCCTCCAGGGAAGAGGAGGCAGCGGACCACGGGCAGCCCAACAGCATCGAGTTAAACGTAGTGTGAGCTCTGACACCATCCTGGGTTTGTGTACCGCTGAGTTGTAGCTTTCTTGTCACCCTCAGAGGGGACAGGGCAGTTTCTTGCGCTTAAAGGAAGATAGCTGTTATTGCTAAGGAAGTCTTTTTTTTGCTGCGTGTCAGTCATTATGTGGGTGTACGTGTGTTATCTTAGAAGCCCTTGATTTTAAGGGCTTGGGTGGGCAATGTTCTAATAATCTGAAGCAAATTTTATTGCATGGTAGAAATCTGGGTGTAAGCAGGAAAACAGTATAAAAAGTGGTCCCTCAGCTGCATCATGCCCTCCACCAAAAAGAATGCGAGAGAGAGGTAGTGAAGAACAGGACAGAAGAGAGTATACTGCTTGCTGTGACCTCACTCCCTTGTGTACTGCCTTCCTAAAGCCGTGAGGTGTCTGTATAAAAAGCCGTATGTTCTGTCTCTGTGGGGCAAAAGTGAAGAAAACCCACACAGGTGTTTCTATTTTTCTCTATTACCAATTTTAATGATAGCTGTAGGACAGGAAAAAAAAAAAAAAAAAAAGTCCCCAGTGGCCAGCATGCAATATGGAAGCCTGCAGTCCCTAAACTGTTCTCAGCTGTGGCAGTGTGGAGTCCCAGTTCCTTTCTGCTTCGGTGGACACCTGCCCCCTCCTGACCCCGTGCAACCTGCATCTGCTTGCTTGCAGCAGAGGTTGAAGCTACTTACCCTGACCTCCCCCAGCCGTGCGTAATCTCACCCTTGTCTGACTCCCTCCTCGTCTCTTCCAAGCGCTCTTCTCACCCTACACTTGGTCAGCTTTTCTGTTTTTTCATCTTGGCCTTTGTGTGCTTTCCTCGTTCACCAGACATCACACCGCTCAAGTTCCTGCTGGTAGCATTTTCATCACCGCCCCCTTTGTTTGACTGTTTCTTCTGATTTAAGCTAGCACGTTTTTGGGGGCAGGGATTGTGTTTTCAGTTTGACAGTGCTTGGGGCCAGATAACTCATAACAGTCTGGAAGAGTTTGCTGGAGACCAGCAGACAGCTTATTGCTTGGTTGATTGAGTGTTTTGCATTTTATTGCACCTGTTTTTTGTAAAATGGTTTGCATCTGAAATCGGACCTCACCAAAATGCACAGAGGTTAGATCTTACTGAAGGCAGATTTGAATTCCTTCTAGCACAGACGCTTGATCCGTGTTTTTCCATTGTCTGTTCAGTTTTGCTGTATGAATGTGCCTTAAGTGACTTCTCCTCTCCTGAGCATCTGAGCCTTGCAGAGGTTCTTTGTTGAACCTCTTGTGTTCTTGAACTGTGATTCAGGCTGAATTTCAGCTCCTGGGTTTTCTGATTGACTGCTATTGATCTCACTTTCTCAGAGTGAGTTAGGGCTTGAAGATTTCCATACCAAATACGGATTTTTTTATTTGGATTAATTAAAAAAACTCCCACAGAAGTAATAATATGCTAGTTTAGTGACTGGGAAACAATTTTCCCATCTGTTGCTGTGATGCATTTTGCACTTGCAGAATCAAAAAAGTGCAAACACACTGTACACTTTTGTAGGAGTATTTGGGGCGTAGCCATCAGGTGAGATTGAAACACAGCACCTGTATTCGCAACTTAGAGGTCTTAAAGCTTGAGCTTGTATCTTTGACCATTATCACACATTTTTAATGCCTCTTAACAATTTTTGTCCTAAGTGCAGATTTGTTAAAGGAATCCTGTGTCAGTCTCACTGACAAATCCTGTGGTATTTTTAATCCCTGTACCTTTTGCTGATCTGAGCTTTGATTGCCTGCCTGAAGTTTAAGGATGTGCTCTTTTGCTGTCCATTCTCTCTTATCCACTCATCACTCTCAGGCTCTTCTGTGTTAATTATCAAGTGAAGCTTAATGCCGAATACCAGTGAAGTGTGAATACTAACCACGCTAAAGCTAAAGCATTCAAAGTGAAAGCTGCTAACTGCTCGGTCTGAATGTGTCTAATGTTCACAGCGCTACTATTTTTCTGTTTGCATTTCTCTGAAGCTGGATGTGGACTGGAAGCAGCTCACCTGTGACTGGGGTGTGACTGGGAGCACAGGTCTTAAGGCGCTGCAGAACTTGAGAAGGAAAGATGTGGTTGGCCTGGCTCCCAGCCCCGCACTTACTGGGCTCTGTGCCGGGTCCTCTGCGGCTAACGCCAGGCAGCTCTCTTGCCAGTAGAGACTGGGGAGTGTTGGTTTCAGGTACTGGTACACCAGCATGAGGTTGCCATGCTGCTGGCAGCCTGGCTCCTGAGCCCAGTTCGACACCACCTCACTGCTGGCAATGCAGCTCTTTGAGTTGTACACTCTCTTGTTGATAATTCACCTCTAAAAGCTTGTGACAACAGGATGAAGGAGCCTTCCTTTAGGACTCAGATGTTCTTAAGAGTGAATTTAAGCCAGCCCTTCTGAGGGAAAGAAAGATTAGTCCTGTTAAGGATGCTGCTAAAAAACATGAGGTTTGCTACCAGGAACTGTTGCAGGTTCTTTGTGCCCCAGGCAGGTGGCACTTTGGGAGCTGTGTGATAAGCTTAGCAACTCAAGTGGGTGTCAATGGCAGTCATCCAGGGAAGAGAGCACAGGAGACAGGGGGCTTTGAGGAGGGACTCTTTGTCAGTGCTTGCTTGTCATCAGACCAGTTTGTGCCCACTGAGTGCTGACTGGTGTGTTTTCACAGGAGACACCCTCCTTGCGATTCGAGCCCCATCAGGCACGCGTTTGGAGGTTCCCATCCCTGAGGTGGGTGATAAATGCCTGGGCAGAGTGCAGGAGTGAGTGTGTGTGTGTGGGGGGGGGGGGAATCAGAGGAACCTGCAACGCAGGATAGTAAATAATTGCCAGAAAACTCTGTTGTTTCGAAGTATGTGAGTAATTGCAGGAGCACCAGGGGAGGAGGTAGTCCTGGGGGTCGGGGGAATTGTTTGTGGAACCCTGCTGAAGTGTCTGGACAGCATGTCTTGCCTCTGGGAAATTCCTGTTCTATATGAAAAGGGCTTTTAATGTGTGCCTGTGTTTTGCTTTGGTCTTTCCTCAGGGCCTAAACGGGCAGAAGAAATACCAGATTCATCTGAAGAGCACGAGTGGTCCCATTGATGTTCTCTTAGTAAACAAAGATGCTTGGAGCTCTCCTCCTGTCGTACTACCTGTCCCTCCCCCTGAAGACCTCATTCAGTGCCAGGCAGTTGCACCCTCCAAACCGCAGATACCACCACTCGCCCACTTCCAGGAGGCATCTGTCCCCAGCAGCACCCAGCCCTCTACACCGACACCTACCAGCACTCAGGACCACAGCCCTCCCGCGCAGAAAGCTGCCAGCACGGGTGAGAGGGAGGCTACAGGAGGCAGAAACGAGGTGGTGGCTGACAAAGGAGAGTACCTTCCTTGGCCAGGCCGGGGCTGGCGCTGCTGGTCGTGCAGCACTGTCAGCTCCTGTCAAAGGGGCCACCTCTGCCTTGGCTGCCGTGAGCCTTTTGTCTTGGTTAGTGGGACTGGCTGTGTTAACAGAAATAAGACACTTGGCTTGAGGGGGTAGTGACAGCCTGTAGAAGCAGAGGTGGGGGAAAGACCGATCGTGCAGATTCACTGGTTAGCAAAAGTTTGTAAAAGGGTCTTTTCGAGTCTCGAGTTCGACTTTCAGTTTGAAAAAAGGCTGTCAAAAATACTAGGTTAGGTTGATTGTGGCTTTGTCCAGCTAAAGTTTGAAAGCCTCCAGCAGCGGAGATCCCCAGGTTCCTCGGTGAACCCTTCCAGGGCTGCAGCACCCCCTCGGTGAATTCCTTTTTCCTAATGTCTGGATCCTTTGAGCTGCATCTCATGCCTGTTGTGCATGTTACATTGTTTGGCACCACTGAGAAGTTCTTAATTTTTGTAACTGCCGTTCAGGTAGCTGCAAGCTGCTGTTAGATTGCCCTTAGACTTCTCTTTTCCTGACTGAACAAGCCCAGCTCCCTCCACCCCTCCATGTGTCCTAGACCCTTGACCAACTTGATAGCCCTCAGCTGGATCTCCTCCACGTTTTTCTTGAACTGGAGGATGGCCAAAGCTGGACACAGTATTCCAAATGCAGCCTCAGCCCCAAGCAGACGGATAGTAGCTTCTCTCAGTGTGCTGGCCACGCTCCTCCTGGTGTAGCTTACTACCTGGCTTGTGTTAGTTGCTGTGAGAAGACGTTCTTGGCTTATCTGCAGCCTGGCACCACTAAGGCTGCTCTCCAGCAGGACCTGGGGGGGTTTTTGCTGCATGAAATCAAGCAGCCTTCTGCCTAGGCAGCTGTCTTGTGCTTGGCCAGCATTGCGGGGTGAGGCTTGAGCCCGTGCTGCAGCTGCTTGCTTCGGGGCTGGTGGGAGATGACATTCCTCTGTGTGTCTGTGGCTCTTTCCAGAATGCGGTGTCTCGGCAGCAGAGCCCAAGGGCAGCGGCGACTTCGACCCCCTCGGCCACGCGTCGGCCGGGTTAGATACCCAACCCCTACAGTCCTCTGCCTCGCTGGACAGCAGCTCCGTCCTACCCAGCCCCTCTACCTCCTTTGAGCCGATCAAACCTGACACCACAGGAAGTGAGTATGCGCCCTCGTTTCACGTGTTGCTCCAAACACGCGCTGCTTGGAGCAAGGGAGAGGCTGCTGGGCCTGGTGGAAGGAGCTGAACCCTGTTCTGCCTTTGCTGTCAGCCAGGCTCTGCGCGGGACGAGTAGGCATTTCCCTGTGAGGGTGCTGGGGAGCCTGATGAGAGGGTGGCTGTGTCATGTCTAGTGTCCTGCCACTTTCTGTGATGTCCATACTAGAAAATCTGCAAGGGACACTCGCATGACACACGTCTCTGCTGTTACATGTAGGATTATTCCCTTCTAGTCCCTTCTGTAGTGCAAGGTCCAGTTTTTGAGATACTATGAAGCAATAGAATTTCCAGCCATCCCTGAGAGCACCTTTGTGACTCGTGGGGAGTTTTCCTTTATTAGGAGAGCTCTCGTCTCTGTTTTCTTCCTTTACTCAGGAATACTTCTTCTGTCTTTAGCGATCTTGTGGTCTTAATGATCTCTCAGTGTCTATTTGGGGGAGCTCCTTGATGTGCTGGTGAGGTGAAATGGGCTTTAAAAAAGGAACATTTGAGCTTTTTGCCAGGAACTGGCAGGCTGGCCCAAGGAGAGAAAAGCATCTTCTAGGTGAGACACACTGCAGAAACACTCTAGGTTAGAGGCTTATGATTGGAAGAGGAAATCATATTCAAGCGTAGCTCACGCAGTGCTTTTTTCATACTTCTGCTGCTAGTGTGTTTGAGAGAAGTGTGAACTGTCTGTCTTTATCTTGGAGTAGTCTTCACTGTGGAATTAGGCCTGTGCTGTGTGTCCAGCTTACCGTATCCCAGTGGGCCTGTGCTGACCCTCATCCTGTGCACGGTAAATCGGGGTGGTGTACCGAAGCTGATGCCGTGTGTGGCTTACATACAGGCAGTTACTCTGGACTGTGATAACATGTTCATGTCCTGGGGCTCCTACAGATTTATTTTAAAGTAGTTGAGCTTTAAGTATTTCATTGCTGATCACTTCAGCAGAAATACGGGACGTGGGGTATGGGAGCAGAATTTCTGGATGGCATGGATTATTTGGGTGCGTAAGGAGTAGAGTAGGACAGTAGGTGATTATGCTGTAAAGCATTGCAGACTTCATTTAACAATGCAAACCATTTGGTTTGTTGTATTTGCAGTACTGGAACTTCCCAAAGAGCTGTCAGAGATGTTTGATCCAACGAGAGGTATGTTCACTTCCTGACCACAACTTTGTTCTGTGCCCTTCTACACAGAGAAGGGGGACAGTTTGTTTTACTCACTACCTTTTGGATTACTTTGGGGCTGTGGTTTTGTAAGGTGCTTGTGGTTGTTGGTGGCTGCTGACTCTCTACTTGTAGTTAGGCACTCTTAAAATTACCGGTTTTGGTATGTATTTTTCTGTTGTCATGTTGCCAGCAACCTCTGTTACAGTTTGCCCTACGGTGTGTAGACAAGGGCTTTCCTGTCCCCATGCCAACACTAATCTGTGCTCTGGCTTCCCGTGCTCCTTCTCCAAATTCTCTGCACCGTGTAAAAGAAAAATCCCTGTTAGTCTTGTTTCAACTGTAGCCCGACCAAGGCTAATCCAAGCAAATAATCTAGGGAGATAATCTTCTCTCTTCGAAATATCCCTCAGTGGTTTTGGTGGTGCTAGTAATTTTGGAGCAGTAGGGGAGGGGATGTTAGGAGTTCTGTCCCTGCCGGAGGAATGCCTGGGTGTCACTGCCTAACGAACTCTGGGCTAAGGGTAGGAGAGGTGAAGGAATTTGGTCTAATGTAAGCCTAAACCAGGAAACACTTTTTGTCTGCCCATCTATTCCCCTTCGGTGCTGGCGGAATACTTTCGAGCCCCGCAGCTGGGCAGAGCTGAGTACACACAAGTGCTTTGGTGGTGGTGACAGGATATGTACGATAACAGTCCCTAGTTCTGTGCCCTAGCAGGCGCTTTTTTGTGTAAAAACCCCACAGTCCCAAAGGCACATGTGTGAGCCCCCAGTCTGTGTGCCAGGAGCCCTGGGCTCCGCGGTCGGCCCGGAGAACACCTTTCCTACTTGCCCAACACCCGCTGCTGTAGATAGTGGATGAGGTCTTGGTAATGACTGAGTACATCTGCAGAGTAAATTCGACTTCGCAGTGTGACACATAAACTGCTGCAAGGCCACAGCCCGTGTAGAAGATCCAGCTTAACCCAAACTAACCGTATAATGTGGCTTTGAGGACACTATTAAAAAGGAGATGTTTGTCGTCTACGGTAACGTGTGTTGTTTTATCTTGCCAGTTTGGCAGATGAAGGTAGAGACCCAGGAGTGAAGGACAACACAACATGGCAAAGTCAGGTTTTAACTGTGATCCACTATTGAAATGTGAACGAAAGCGGTGTTCTGCAAAACAGAGTCAACAGCTACTGAGGCAAAGCTCAGGACTTAAAAAAAAAAAAAAAAAAAAAAGCAACACTGCAGGGCTCAGAGAAATGGACCTTGCAGCGTTCTCCGCGCAGCTTCTTTCACCCCTGTGTGATCCCAGTAACATTGCTCTGGCACTGGGCTGCTTTAAGGCTATGCAGTTGAAGCTGCAGGAGCCTGGATTTCTTCCTTAGTGTTTTGTATTGGAATGACTTTCTCTGCATGGTTTTCTCTCTCTTTTAAATGGGTGCTTAATAACTACTTGTTTCGAACTCATATCCTGGAAAAACCCTGGATTTCAACACACACGTATACACACCCTGCGATACTAAGAGCCCTGATCTAAGAATGCAGGTTCTGCATTTAATTGCTATTAATTGAAGCCGGTATTAGTCCTGTCTAATCACTTGATGTTAAAATTCCCTCATCTCATGGCACTGAATTAGACAGGTAGGTTCCTGTCCTCTAGGAAATAGCCTGCTGTGGATAAGTGTCTTGAAAATGGGCTCATCTGAGTTTCTTCTGTGAAAACTTATTTCAAGTGCAGGTAGTATCTCATCAACGTAAAGTGAGAGAGGCATTCAGAAAGTTGTTTTCAAATGCTTAGTTCCTTAAAGAAAAGGGATTGTCTTGCACATGCTTTGTCTGGGTGCTTGTCTGTCTACCCTTCAAGTGCCTTGTGAACCTACTAGCCAAGAGTAGCAACGCTGGAGGAAGGAATGACCTTTCAGAGAGAATTTTTTGGAGAGTTTTATCTGGGCAGCAGAGGGGAGAGCAGAGGTAATGGCCCATTAAGGAAGGCTCTGCAGAGCTCAGGTGTTCGTTCTGTTGGTCAGCTGGCAGCCAGTGAATCTGCCAGGGCCTGTGGCTGGATTAGCCACAGCGGAGCCTTGGAGCAAGGGGAGCAAATTAGGGGCACAAAGGACATAAATCTGGAGGAAACTGGAGGGTCATAAGTTTTGCAGCTTCTGGAACAGCTCATTTGTTTTTTAATTTTTTCACCAGTTAGCAAAGTTGGTGGGTAATTGAGGGCTGTGAATATGTCGGGCTTCAGCAGCTCAATTTCAGGTGCACGTGGAAGAGTTTCCCTTGGAGGAGTTTGGGGCACCAGCTAAGGTGAGGCACAGCCTGTCATACGAGGGAGACTGGCGTATGGTTGAGCTAAAGCAGGCAAAGACCTCCTGCAGAATGTTTTGCTGTAGCTGGAATTGTCTGACACAGATTTCCCTTTGCCCATGGCGAGAGGCCCGAGCCTCCTTTCCCCACTGCCTGCTGCGCAGGCTGGATAACAGGGGTGAGGAGCAGCAGGTGTGGGGAACTACACAGGATCAGGAAAGCAGAGTGCATTGCTTAACCGTGCTTGTCTCTTCCCCAGAATGTATGAACTCTGAGCTGCTGGAAGAACTGATGTCATCTGAAGGTGAGTCTTTGAGTCTCCCCTCATGCTGTGGCCCTCCCAGGGGAGGAAGACCACGCCGTGTGACTTTACCGAGCTGACAGCCTTCTGTCTGCAGACTCGCCCTCATCTTCCCTGGGCTCTGGACACAGGCTCTGTTCTCACTGTCCTGCAAGTCCTCGGGAGAGGTGTGAGAACCAGAAGAGCCTGGCTCTTCCGTATCGCAAGGCTGATTTGAAGCAACCTCAAAGACTCTGAGGTGGCCTCCCCGTGGCTCCACGGCTCAGCGCCCATTTGGCAGCACTTGGCTCAGTGTGGAAGTGCTCCGTTTTGTAACCAACCGTGGGCTTCTCTTTCCTCAGTGTTTGCTCCCTTGCTCCGCCTCTCCCCTCCGCCCGGAGATCACGACTACATCTATAACCTGGATGAGAGCGAAGGCGTCTGTGACCTCTTTGACGTGCCTGTCCTCAACCTCTGACTTCTCAGTGCGGCTGCCAGCCTCGCAAACACAGACAGTTTTATAACTCTTTGGAAAGTGTCTATTTTTGGATTCCTTTTGCGCTAGAGCTCGATGAGTGAGCAATTCAGAGATGCTCTCGTGTGGACTCAGAACCAAGAGATGTGGACTTGCAGGCCGGGAGCCTTCCCGTAGCTTCTTCCTCTTCCTCTGTTGCACGTGCAAGGTGCTTGTGCAACTCTCCCTGCCGCGTCTCTCTCTCCACTGGATCCTGGGCCTCACTTCAAAGGGTCTGTGTTTTGAGTGTTCCCAGTTTGCCCATGTGCCTCTCCGAGCTTCCTCAAATCTGCATGCCTTGGTTTTTTCCTGCACTCCTAGAGGCACTTTGCACCTCCTAGGTACCAGCTGCTACAAGGAGCCCTGATATCGTGGTCAGTTCACAAGCCCGGAGGTAGTTAGGTAGATTTCTCAACGTGAGCGGTTCAGATTGGGGTGGTTATATTTCGGAATGACAACAAGGGGAGGGGGGGGAAATGGCACCAAAGTGTCCGTTTCTTCCAGCGATTCCAGACCAAGCTAGTACGTTTTACAAGAAAAAGCACTTTTTTTAGCCAGCTGTGCCTCCTAGTGGGACTCGGGAGTTGAGCATTCCTAGTAGGACCCAGGAGCTGAGCCCTTCCCTGCTTGTGCAGCAGCAGGAACGCTGGTTCTGCGCTCACCAGTCTGCTGATGCTTGAGCCCAGGGGCTCAGCTCCTCGTACAGCAGCTGTGCTGTTTCTACAGGGCTAAAGAAGAGGTGCCAGTATGTTTTTGTTTTGTTTTTTTTTAATTTTTATTTGTTTTTACCTAAGTGAAGAGATGTTTCAAAGGATAAGACTGCTCCAGGTACATCAGAGCCTGCTCATATTTGCAAGTAGCTGTCTTCTCCAACCATTGCACTTGAGCCTTCAGCTGTCTAAGAGGCGACCAAGCAGTAACAATTCAGTAGTACTTTGCTGTGACAAGTTACGTAGGTGTTGTCAAAACAGTGCTTTCCCCCCCCCCCCCCCCCCCCCCCCTTTTTCTCTCTTGGCATCTGCTCAGGATCAGGCTTTCTGTATATTTGGATTTGCTCCTCTGGTGTCCGTACCTACTGTCCCAGTTCCTGATCCTGTGGCAGGTCGCTACCTAGCGTGATGCTTTCTCTGCATCATTTTTTCCACAAGATTTCCTTCATTGCTTTCTCTATACCTTCCTCCAGTGTAATGGAAGGTCTGCTGTTGGGTTCGTTGTGATGATCAGGTAGTACCAGTCTTGGACCCTGTGCAGTTTACTTGGAGTAAAATGCCCGGGTGGATTTGTGATGTATTTTGCAAGCCCCAGCTTTGTTTTTCGGTCAGATCCTGTGTTTGAGTGTCTTCAGTTTTGCACATCTTCCCGCTGACGCGGTGGCAGCAGCAGCTGTCCTGCCTTTCCTGCTCGGCAGAGTGCCAAAGCGTGGCTGACTCTTGCAGAGAGGTAGCTTGCAGCCATCCACGTAACCAGCTGAAAGTTTAAGTTCCCTGCTTAGCCGTTCGCCGCCTGTGAGCCACGCAGCCAGCCGGAGCACCAGGAATAAGGGATGCGAAGTCTTCAATTTTTGGAGCCCGCGGAGGTGTAAAGAATACACGCCTGGGACCTGTGTCCCTGAGGTGGCTCCTCGGGCCATCTTCTTCTCTGTGGGGCTCCTCCAGAAGAGCCGTTCCTCTCTGCAGCCCTCGTCCTCGTCGGGAAAAGCCTGAAGAATTCGGGAGGAACGACGGGACGCTCTCTGGCTCGGCAGCAGGCAGCTGCTGCCGGTGAGACGGCCGTGGCGTGGGACCCCGCCGGGGTGGGCTCCCAGCCCGCATGTCCCCGAGCCTTCCCTCCTTCGCACGGGAGCCGGCCGAGATCCCTCGGGACAGCGAGGCTTTGGCGTAGCTCGAGCTCTCTGTGTGCTGCCTGGCCCTCACCTTCCTTCCACATGTTCATGTTCGCCACCAGTTAGACGACCTTCGGAAAAGGAAAAAATTTACAGTCGCGGATGAACTTTTGATTCATATTATAAAGATTATTTTTATACTTTTTTTTTTTTTTTTTTTTGCAAGGAAAGAAAATTGCCTGTAATATTTGTACAGTGTTCTCTGACGTGAATAAACAACAGAAAAAAAAAAAAAAACCAAAACTTCCCAGGTTTTCCCGCCTCCCCTTAGCCAAGCCCAGAGGGAGGGGGGTGCCCCTGAAAAGCGGGGTGCCGGCCAGGCCCTTTCCCCGGCGGAGGTGGGTCCTGCCGAACCCGCGTCAGCTCAGGTGAGGGGGCCGGGCCTGCTCGGCGCTGGGCCCGGCAACCGCCGGCGGGACCGGCGGCAGCGGGGCCTCGGGGGGGGGGGGCGGCGGCGGCGGCGACCCGGAACTGCGGCTCGGCGGGGCGGGGAGCGGCGCCGAGGGGTGACGGTGCGGGCGCGGGAGCCATGCCGCCGCCCAAGGACGTGGTGAAGATCGCCATCCAGATGGTGGGAGCCATCCCGCAGCTCATCGAGCTGCAGCAGGTACGGCCCAGCACCCCCTGACAACACCCCCACACCCCCCCAGAAAAAACCAACAACCCCGCGGCTCATGGCCGCCCTCTCGCCCGCAGACCAAGCCCCTCGCCTCGGTGCTCAAGGACGTCTGCGACGCGTGAGTACCGGGCCGTGACAGCCCGCGGCCGGGCTGCCTCCGGCCGGCCCGCTGGCCACCGGCACCGGCCCCTTACGGTGCCGTGACCGGCCGCCCCGTCGCCGCAGGTGGAGCCTGCCCAACGCCGAGCGCTACGCCCTGCAGTACGTGGACGGGCGGCAGACCTACATCACCGAGTCGGTGAGACACCCCCCCCACCCCGAACCCCTCCCCGGCCCCGCTGCTGTGGCACCCACCGCCTCACCCGTTCCTTTCTCCTCACAGAACCGCGGGGAGATTAAGAACGGGAGCATTTTGCGGCTGACCACCTCCCCGGTACATCCCTCTGTCCCTCCCCGTCTCCTTCTCCGCCGCGTGCTCCGGTGGGATGTCGCCCTGCGATGGGGCAAGGCGGTGCTCCAGGCCTTCTGCCACTGCCTCGCTTGGTGACTTCTGGCTCATTGACGGCTCCTCCCGGCGCCTCAGACCCGGCAGGAATAACGCGGGGAGGAGACCTGTCTCAACCTTCACCCTCCCTCGGCAGAGCTTGGGGGAGTTTGGAGAGAAACTAAATCATCTTGAGAGGCTTTGGACGCGTGGGCCAACTCATCAAGCATCCTTAGTGTCGTGCCAGCTTGACCTCCTTCCTCAGCTCTTCCTGGGTCTCTGCTCTGGTGGCTCTGTCTCTCGGTTCAGCTCCTCACTGGGGCTGCTCTAGCCTGAGCCTCCTTCCAAAACTTGTGCTTAAGCTCTTCCAGCCTTCTCCAAGCTTCTCGCTCTCTTTCAGTGAGCCCCTTTGCCTTGATTCTTTCCTTCCTGGTAGGACCAAGAAGCAGAGCGGTTGTACAGCGGGATCCAGAGCAACAACTCTGATGTGAAGACTGACTCACTGAAGAAACTTGCGAGCCTCTCCCAAGACGTTACCTTTGCTCAAGAGTTCATCAACAGGAATGGCTTGAAACAAATCTTCTATATTGTGGAAGAAGGAAACGAGTGAGTATCAGGAGAGGACTTGCCTTGCGGGCCTTGACTTCTCCCTTGCTAATGCTGCGTGAGCTCTGAGCTGGGTGTTGGAGCGGACTCTTGTCACGTTCCTGGCTCGTTGATCCCTGTGCTGTGGCATGCAGGGCAGTGCTGGCAGCAGGGTGCTTTGGCTCTGCAGGCTCCTCACCTCCAGGTACGTGGCTGCGTCCCCGCACGCTGGCAGCCAGGGGAAGGTCCCCACGGCTCCGTGGTCCTGACTCCTCGTGAACGTGCCCCGACTTGAACCTCCCATCCCTTTGCTGGCTGGGTCATCTGCAGCCTCATGGGTTTTGCTACCAGGAAACCTCCTGTGATGATCCTGGCTTGAACCTCCCATCCCTTTGCTGGCTGGGTCATCTGCAGCCTCATGGGTTTTGCTACCAGGAAACCTCCTGTGATGATCCTGGCTTGAACCTCCCATCCCTTTGCTGGCTGGGTCATCTGCAGCCTCATGGGTTTTGCTACCAGGAAACCTCCTGTGATGATCCTGGCCTCTGCTGCTGCTCATTCTGCCACCCCAAATAATCCCTCTGCTCTGAGGTTTCAGCTGTAAGAGATCTTCAGGCAGCTCGAGAAAACCCCGGTTGCCAAATACTAGTGCCTACTTGACTCTTTCAGGCTGTGGTGGTGCATCTTCGCTGAGCTCCTTATCTCACAGAGGTTGTGGAGCCTAAAACCAGGCAGTGCAGCACGTGTTTCTTGGAAGCAGGGGGAGGGATTTGGGGTGGCTTGTCTTTCCCGAGGCCTCGACCGCATCGATCTTTGCACTGTGGTAACGCGGCTTTCCAGAAACTGTTGAATTTCCCCTGCCTCGACTTCCTGGGATGACTAAGCAAGAGTGATTTCTTACCCAACAGTTTCTCTTTCCTTTCTTCTCCTGCTCGCTGCTCTCTGCTTCTCTAGCTGTTTCTAACGTACCCACCAACATGCAACTCTGCTCCCGTCTTATGGTGGTGACTGACTGTGGGGTATCTGGAGCCGTCCTCACTGTGTTTGCTCATCTGTCACTCCAGTACAGGGGAGATGCTAGCTCACACCCTGAAGGCCTTCATGGAGCTGATGGAGCATGATTTTGTATCTTGGGAGACTCTTAGTGCAGCCTTCATCAAGAAGGTAAGCACCTTCTGCAGGGTCTGCGGCCCGTCCCCTTGGGATTCCTTGCTGCCCTTGTCACCAGGGCTCAGCCTGCTCTTGACGGATGGTTTTGTGTCTCACAGATAGTGAGTTACGTCAATATGAACGTGGTGGATGCATCTGTCCAGCAGCTCTCCTTGTCTATCTTGGAGAACATGGTGCCCACCAGTCGCCTCCTCTTCGAGCTAGTTAAAAAAGAAGTGACGCTGGATCGTCTTCTCACGCACCTGCAGGTGTAAGTGGAGAAGCCAGAGCACCGTTCGCCCCATCCCAAAGCCCGTGGGGATGAGGTGATAGAGGGGATTTCTCCGGGTCTTGATGATTATCCCTGGCACAACGTTGTATTGTCCCTTCCTAAACCATTTGTGAGCGAGCAGGCTGTCCTGTCCCTACTGCTGGGGGAGGGATGGGCTGTCCTGAAACCATCCTGTTTCCAGGTCAGATTCTTTCATGGCTTCATCCATGGCCGGTTTCATTCAGATATCTTGGTTCTTTACCTGACTGGCCTTTTTTTCTGGCATTGGCCCTTCCTTCCCTTTCACTGGTGTATTTAGGAGCAGTAGTATGTTCCTCGCAACTTGGGGGTGGTGGTGCTGTACTGAGCAGAGTTTGTTAAATCCCTCAGCTAAGGCGGGTTCTTCGTTCCCTCATCTGCCTCATACCTCTGCATCTCTTCAGTTTGGAGGGTTTTCTTTCCAGAAAATGGAGTGGCTCATACCCAGGGCTGCTCCTGCCAGAGAGGAGTCTGCTGCTCACCCTGGGTTTTTCTGCAGCTCCAAAATGCTGCACCCGTGGGCGTGTGCAGAGCCATATCTGATCCATCCATGGGTGCTCTGCAGTCACAGCTGTGGGGACCATCTCACCCCTGGCCCTGCTCTCAGCAGCCGCTCACTTAAGGCTCTGGCCTCTCTGGGTCCCCCAGCTCCGTGCGGTGGGGTCCGGCGGTGAAGTGGGGAGGGCAAGACCATCCTCCGTGCTGGTGACTCTCCCCATCCTCCTCATCCTCCTCCTGCAGGACAAACGCCCAGCTGCAGCTGAAGGCGATGGCCCTGCTGATTGCCCTGCTGCTGGCTGCGACCGACGCTGAGCGGCGGGTAAGGGGATGATGCTCTCTGCCCCTGGGCAGGAGGCAGGAGCGGGTGATGGCAGGGCCGTGGGCACCACCGTGCCCCTGTCGCGGGGGTGAGGCTCCGCTGAGAGGCCTCAGCTGGCTCACACCCCTTCGGAGGAGTTTTGGGGGGGTGCAACATCTTAAATGACAGGAGAAGCATCACGGCTGACCGGGTTGCCCTCATAGTGTTTGCATTCTCTGGGATGGCGGGGCTGTGAGAGGTGCCAGGAGATGTTCAAAGCCGGTCTCCTCGCTCTGCTGCTTCTCCTTGAGTGACACAACCTGTCCCGGCAGCCTGGTGTGCCAGGACCTGTTTGAGCCCCCCCGGGGGGGTGGGTTTGGGCAGTGGGAGCTGGGGGCTCACCCGTGTCGCTCCCGAGACTGCCGGTTCCTTTCTGTCCCCACCCTGTCTGTAGCCCTAAGCTCAGCTTACCGGGGATGGGAGGCTGCAAAGGGGACACGGGATTTTTTGGGAGAGAGTGGTTGTGTGAAGTTGGAGAATGTCTCACGGCCCCCTCCCTCCCTAGGACATGATGGACTACCTGAGGGAGAAGAACATCAGGCAGTTTATCCACAAGGTGAGGAGCTGGGGTCGTGCAAGGGCCCGCTCTCTGTTTCACCCTCTGTCCTTCCTCCCCAGCCCCTGTCCCTTCAGCCCCAGCCTTTGGTGACCGTGCTTGGCTGGGTTGCCTGTGGTTCGGCGCCCCCACCTCTCGCCCAGCTCTGAGGGGAGCTGCCCACTTCCTAACACCCCTCCGAGCTGCGGGACCTGCTGGGCTTTGGCTGGTGGGCCCTGGGCTTGGAGGAACTGGGAGCGGCAGCTTGGGGGGGACCTTCTCACTCATGGCCTCCTGTAGAACATCATCCACAGCTCCGAGCCGCTGGGCGACGAGATGGCCCATTACCTGTACGTGCTGCAGTCCGTCAGCCTCAACCTGTGCGAGCGCCGCATGAGGACCTCCATGGATCCCTACTCGCAGGTCTGCGACCAGCCTGCTCCCGGCCTCTTCCCCCTGTGGAAGTAGAGGCGGGTGCAGGTTCACCTTTGGGTGAACCCAGCGCGTTTCATTTCACTGCTGGTCTGTCCTGGGAGAACCCGCTTGGGCGACGCTCGCCAGCGTCCCCCTCCTCTCCGCTCGCCCCCCAGGAACAGCGGGAGCTCCTCCAGTCGCTGCGCCAAACCGCCTTTGAGTCGGAGAGCGAGGCACCTGCCGGCAACTTCAGCACCGAGCGCCGGCGATCCCTCTGCGCCAAGGAGTTCCGCAAGCTGGGCTTCACGGTGCGTCCCCCTCCCCAGCCCCACCGCCCCGCCTTGGCAGCACCTTCTGACGGCTCCCCTAAGCCCGGTGTCCCCCGTTGAAGCTGGTGGGCCACCTCTCTTCGGCTCCCTCGGTACTCCTAAACAAGTGCTGCGGAGCTGCTGGGACTCGAAAGGCAAAAAAGCCCACGGCTGCCTCAGGAGGATTGTGATGCTCAGGGAAGAAAGCTAGCAGTTGCTAAATTGCATCCTTTTGTGTCCTCCTAGAACAACAGCAACCCCGCGGAAGACCTCCGCCGTGCCCCGCCGGGGCTCCTCGCCCTTGACAACATGGTGTATTTCTCCAGGCATACCCCCAACGCCTATAGCAGGGTGCGTGCTCTTTCCTGGAGAACCTGGCAGAAGAGGTTCTGGTGGATCTCCACCTTCTTTTCCTTCCCTTGTGACCTGTCCGTGACCAAACCTGGGCGAGAATGTCCCTTTCGGGCAGGTGTCCTGCTGTTGCCCTGTTTCGGATGGAGCCAGGTCCTCCCCGTGGGTAGGAGCAGCCATTTGAGGGCTGATGGCACTGAGGGGTCCCCATAATTTTTAGTGTTTTGCCCACAGCTTGGTTTCCAGGCCTTGTTCACATCTGAGCAGACTGGGGCAATTTGGGCCAAACCAGTCAGTGGCTGCAGAGCGTTAGCCACGCTCCGACCTGTGATCAGCTCCCTCACTGCGGCAGGGGGAGGAGGAGATTGGGAATGCTTTGGGGGGAGAGATGACTACTTCTGTCAGGGATGGCTTCACCCTGGGGGGGGACAGCTCGCCTAGAAATTTCCGGAGGAGCGTGGGATGCCTGCGCCCCACCGCTGGGGCGGCTCTGTGGGTCCGTGGCCCACGTAACGCGAGGCAACTGCCCTCTCCTCCAGTTTGTCCTCGAGAACAGCAGCCGGGAAGACAAACACGAATGCCCCTTCGCTCGAAGCAGCATCCAGCTCACCCTGATCCTCTGCGAGATCCTGCACGTTGGAGAGCCGTGTATGTGTGTGCTCCAGCTCGCCCATCTCCCTGCCCTGCTGCCTGTGGGCTGGCAGGAGCGGGGACAAGCTGCCAGGGCAGGGGGCTGTGTACGTGGGGCCACTAGGCTCTGGCGAGGCCGGCAGCAAGGGAAGGAGGGCTGGGAAATGTCCTGGTTTTCCTGGACACTGAAACTCCCTGGAAAAACTGGGGAGTCTGGCATCATCTGTCCTTTCCACTGCAGGCTCGGAGACGGCTCAGGCCTTTTACCCTATGTTCTTCGGGCAGGACCATTTCTTCAAAGAGCTCTTCTGCATCTGCATCCAGCTGGTGAACAAGACCTGGAAGGAGATGCGCGCTACCCAGGAGGACTTTGACAAGGTGTGAGGGGATGCTGAGGCCACGGGCTGTGCACAAATTCAGGGGCTCTGAGGAGCCTCACCAGACCGGGGGGGTGATATCCTGGGCCCCACAGGTGCTGCAGGTGGTGCGGGAGCAGATCACCAGGACCTTGTCCCTCAAGCCCACCTCCCTGGAGCTATTCAAGACCAGAGTGAACGCGCTGAACTACAGCGAGATCCTGAAGCTGCGGCAGACGGAGCGGCTGCACCAGGAGGAGACGCTGGCTGTGCCGGTGCTGTGAGTGGGCTGCGGGCCGGGAGCTGGAGCTGCGATGGGGGACTGGGGGGGGGGGTGTGGAAAGAAAAACCGTGGGGCTGAGGAGGTCGGCGAGCGCCCGTTGAAGCGGCCGTGCTCCTCTTCTGCCTGGCTTTCATCCCAGGGAGTTGCGCGAGAGGCTGAAGCCGGAGCTCCTGGAGCTGATCCGACAGCAGCGCCTGCTGCACCTCTGCGAGGGCACCCTCTTCCGCAAGATCAGCAGCCGCCGCAGGCAGGGTGAGTGTCAGCCCCCCTCGCTCCTGGGCGGGGGGGGGGGGGGCCCGGGGAGGGCGGGCAGAGGCTTGTCCCCACATCCCCTGCCACCTGGGAAGTCGCAATTAACCCGCAGGGAGCTCCCGGGACGGTGGCACGGGGTGGGAGCAAAAGCGGGGGGTGCTGATGAGGGGGCAGCTCCGTCTGCCTGGGGAAGGGGACCTTAGTGGTGGGGGGCTGAGCATTTCCTGACAGCCCTTTTGCTGCAGACAAGCTCTGGTACTGCCGCCTGTCACCCAACCACAAGGTGCTGCACTATGGGGACGTGGAGGAGGGGGTGCACTCTCTCCCCATCGAGAGCCTGCCAGAGAAAAGTAGGTGATGGAGGGAAAGGGAGGGAGGGGAGCCCTCTGCCCACCCCAGCTGTGACATTCGGGGGAGGCTGTAAGGTGGGAATTGCCCCTCTGCCTGGCTGCCGCATGCCTGGCCCTGTGCTCACTGGTACCATGGGTCTGGGAGCGGTGGGAGGTCAGGCTGGGCCGGGCTGGCTCTCCAAAGGGTGCTGCAGCGTGGCCCGAGTCCCCCCTTCCCTGAGTTGCGATGGCTCTGCGCCCCCACACTTGGGTTCTGCGGGGCTCTGAGCGCTGGAGACCCTGGGGAGAGGAGAGGAGGGTGGGTGCTCACAGCTCCTCTGCTCGCCCCAGTTCCTGTGGCGGACATGAAGATGCTGCTCGTGGGGAAGGAGTGTCCGCACACGAAGGAGAAGAGCTCTGGGAAGCAGAACAAGGTCAGCACCTCCCACCCCAGCTTGCGCATGGGGCCCAGCACCTCCCCTCCCCAGCTGCTGCTGATTTTTGGTGGTGGGTGGATGGTGACAGGTTGGGTGGATTCGTGGAAGGTGGCAGGTTTTTGACGTGGCTTGAGAGTGGAGACCTCTTGGGCCTTCTGGGGCGCAGAGGAGGAGGCTGGGAGGCAGCTCCTGCTCTGAGCCCCACCAGGGCTGGGAAGAGCCCCGCTGAGAAGCTGGCTACCTGCTACCTGCTGTGCTGTCCCCGCAGGATGTCCTGGAGCTGGCCTTCTCCATCGTGTACGATGTGGAGGAATACTGCCTCAACTTCGTTGCCCCCACCCGGTATGAGGTGAGGTCCAAGGGCCTGCCGGGGAAGCACGCTGCGGCCACAGCAGGCGGGGAAGGGAGTCGTGTGTGCCCCCCAGGCCACCCTCCTGGGGTTCCTTGGGGTGGGACCCAAAGCGGGGGGGAGAGGTGGGCTCTCCAGCTGCCCAGGGCTGGTGTCGGAGATGCCTGTGCTCTGCTTCCCCAGTTCTGCCTCTGGACAGATGGGCTGAACGTGCTCCTGGGCAAGGAGATGACGAGCGAGCGAACGCAGACGGACCTCGATGTCCTGCTGTCCATGGAGCTCAAGCTGCGGCTCCTGGACCTGGAGAACATCAGCATCCCTGACACACCCCCTCCTGTCCCAAAGCCCCCCAGCAACTTAAACTTCTGCTACGACTTCAGCCAGGCCGAGCAGTGAGTTCCTCCCTGAGCCCCGTCCACCCACCCACCCAAAATCAACCCCTTTTACTCCAGGCTCTGTTCTCCCATCTCCCGCCCAAAGGGACAAGCCCAGGCCCTGGCTGGGGGCTTGGGCGTGCGCTGCCTGCACCTTGCCCATCCCAGGGCCAACTAGCCCCCCTGTCCCCTGCCTGCATCCTGCCCTCCTGGCTGAGCCACGCAGCATCAGGCTCCTGTTCAAGGCAGGGGTGATCCGACCGCTTTGTTCCCCTGCCACTGGCAGGCGAGATGAAATACTTTCCCGACAGCCGAACCCCTCCATGGTGGCACTGACACCCCACCACCACCCCGGTGAGGCTTTGGGCAGAGATGCAGGCAGGAATAAAGGTGCAGGCAGGAATAAAGGGTACAGGCAGCTCTGGGATGGCTGGAGCAGGGGCAGAACTACAAAGGTACGAATCTGCGCTGTCTGGCTCTTCCTCTCAGCCTAGGGGATCCTTTCTGGCCAAGAAAGGGGTTAGAAAAAGGAGAAAACACCCTTTCTGCTCACTTGGATGAGCAGGCGGCATCTCCAGAGGACGGTGTGCCTGCCCAGCCAGACCTGTGCCACACTGAAACGTTTTTCTGCGCTCCCTCTCCTGGAAGAGGGGTGTTTAGGGTACAAGCCCCCTCTCCCAGCGCCCTTTCAGCCGGCCTGGGGCTCGCTGCCGCCGTGCCCGGCGTGAGGAGGAGGCTCGTGCCAACCCTGGGTGCCCTGCGCGGGTACTTGCACACTCCAGCCATGCTGCTGCACTACTGCAACACGACAAAGCTACCTCCCGTCCCCTCGCCTCACACCTCCCTGTGCCTACAGCTTCTCCCAGGGGTGTCGCGGGGGCAGCCGCAGCCGCCGGGTCCCTGGGGGGGCTCCCACTGTGCCTCTGCCTCCCGGCTCTTGGGACAATAAAACACTCGTGGAGAGCTCACGGCCCTGTCCTTTCCAAAGGTTTGGGGAAGGGGTCAGGCCGACTGCGGGGCAAAAAGCGGGCAAGGCTGGGACTGTGCTGCGGCACCGGGGGGAGCGTGAAGAAGCCCGTGGGATGGCAGGCAGGTTTTGTTCCTGCTGCTGCGTGGGGGAGCAGGCGTGGCATCGCCTCACCCCCAAGGAAGGTGGCCCAGGGGTACAGCCAAAGCCCCTTCCAGCCCGGGAAGGTTTGGGAGCAGTGCAGGTGGGCGGGGGGGGCAAGGTGGGCAGGCTCAGCTCCAACCCTGTTGGGCTTGGAGCTTGGAGGGAAGCAGGCTGGGCATAAAGAGGAGAGGGGAGGCAGGTGAAGGCGGTCTGTGAGGGAGGCTGCCGCCCTGCGTGGCCGGGGGGGGGTGATTGGGGTCGGGCTCCCGGGTGGCTGCGCAGCATCTTCTACCGGAGAACCGGGGGAAAGGCAATTTCACAGCCCGGGGACGGCGGGCACCCTGCGGAGGGAGGGGGGACCGGGGGCGGGCGGAACTCCCGGAGCTGGGGCTTCCCCTCCGCGGCCCGAGGGACACCCGGACCCCCGGCCCCGGGCACAGCCCCGCCCCTTCCGCGGGTCACCGCCCGGAAGCGGAGCGCGGAGCCGGCGCGGCCATGGCGGTGAGTGTGTGGGTGGGTGGGTGTGTGGGGGGGACGGGACACGACACGACACGACACCCGGTGAGGCCGGGCCGCTGACCGCCTCTCTCGGCTCCGCAGCCCAAAGGGAAGGCGGGCACCAAGGGCAAGAAGCAGATCTTGGAGGAGAACCGGGAGACGCTGCGCTTCTACCTCCGCATCATCCTGGCGGCCTCCGTGAGTGCGGCCTGGGGGGGGGGGGGAGGACCGGGACCGGGGCCGGGACCGGGACCGGGGCCGGGGCCGGGCAGGACAGACAGCCGTGCCGTGCTCTCTCCGCAGGCCGTGTACGCCGTGGTGAACCTGGTGGTCTTCTACCCCGCCGCCTCCGCCGGGACGTGGGTGAGAGCCGGCTCCTCTCCCGGGGGCCGCCGCGGGTGAGCCCCGCTGCCCCGGGGCCGGCGGCTCCCCCGGCTGACCGCTCTCTTCCTCACCGCAGCTAGCGTTCGTCTTCAGCTCGGCGGTCTACGGCACCAGCTACCGGTCCATGAGCTCCATGGCAAAGCCGGCCTTCGCAGACGACGGCAGCCTTGCCGACGGGGGAATCGACCTGAATATGGAGCAGGGGATGGCAGAGTGAGTGTCCACACCCGCACCAGCCCAGGTGAGCGGGACCCGCCGCCCGAGCCTGCACGCAGAGCCACGACAGCCCCCCGGAGGAGAAGGCCAGGCCTCCGCTCCCGCCTCAGCTTGCCCAGGGGAGCTGGAAGCCCTGTAGCCGTTTTGTTTTGGTTTGGTTTTTTCCTCAGAATATGCCTAAACCATCCCTGCTAGCTGAACACTTGGCCTGCTGTGGGCACGTCAGCTTGGAATGGCCACAGTCCTTAGGGCTGAGGTGCACAGGTCAGAGATCCCAAATGGTTCGGCTGAAGCAGCTTACGCCCCTCTTTCAGTGAAGAAGCAGCACTGGCACTGTGCACGCTTCTGCAACGCACAGAGATAGACATATTTTCTTTTTAAACCAGCGCTGCACGTAGTGCGTGGCAGAGCAGAAGGGCGGGCGCCGCCAGTGACCCCGTCCTGGCTGCAATCTGGCCGTGTCATGAACCCTTCCGCACACTAAAAAAACCTCTTTCTGTCTTAGCCAGCTCCTCTCACCTCCTCAGCCTTCTCTGCCCCTTGTGCTTGTGCATTCCCCGTGTCTGTCTGCAGACAGCGCCAAGCGTTGGCCTGTCCAGTGTTCTGGGCAGTGCTGTAACTGTCTTTTACCTTGGTCAGAGAACACGCAACAGTAATTCCTGCAAAGCGCTGATGAGTAAAATAAGGAGACAACAATACCAAAGCAGCAGAGATATCTCCTAGGTGTCTTTTCTAACAGCGAGCCTCAAACTAGTTACAGAAAACTGCTGGGCAGCCGTGGGCAAGCCAGGCTTAGCTCTCAGTCCTCCCTGCCCTCAGCCTCCATTTGTTGGTCCAACTTTTGCCGGGGCTTTTCAGCGTGCGCTCACCGACCTACCCGGGGTATGTGGTGCCCCCGATGCCCTTGGCCAACAATTTATCACCATCTGTCACTTGCTGCCAGGCTTTTGAAGAAACACAGCGGGGTCTTGTTTCCAACAGAGCCCCCTGCGTCACCTCAGGTGTTCTCGTGCTGGAAGGGCCATGTATTGATGTATATATTTTTATTTTTCTTAAGAGAAGTTTTATTTCTGCAGCCAGGAGGTGCCTGGGGATGTTATCAGCAGGCAGGTTGACTTGTGTGGCACAGAACCTGCTGTCTCTGCACAGGATGAGCTCTCATCTCGTGTGTTTTATAGTAAATTTTCTGCATGCAGCCAGAGTGACTCAGATGTGTGGTGTAAGAGACTCAGCTGAGGGACGAAGTGGCTGGGAAGAGAGAAAGTTATTTCTAGCCTGATTTGTGAGCCTGGTGTTTTACACCCCGTTCATCCTATAGTAACTTCTATTTCCTGTTGGTCAGCCTAGTGTTTTTCTCTTGTTTTACACTGCTTTGGGTCTCCTGAGGCATGAAGTCCTTCGGATACCTTTTCTGTGAAACACAACGTGGGAGAATGCAGAAGCTTGATGTCATCTGGGGTGTCCTAGTTGTGGGAGATGTGTGAGGCAGCGAAGCAGCGTGGGTGCCCCGATAACTGCCCCACGCACGTGTGTGATGGTGCTGTCAGGGGAAGCATTGCCCGCTGTGGAAAGGTGTCGGGTGCAGGTGTAGCACTGCCACAGTCCTGGTTGCACACGTCATATTTCCCTTGGTACCGGGGCTGTGAGGTTTTTCCTGCCTTGAGCAGTACCCCATTGGGGTGAGTTTTACGACACATTAAAATTAATTGATGCTCATCCGAAGCACGGGCTGTGCAAAACGTGGAGGAGGCAGAGCTGTAAAAGCAAAACCTGGGCAGCTGAAGTTGCTGTCCTTACCTTTGTACCCGAGCCTGTGCAGGGCCCTCAGCTGTGAGAGTGTAAGTCTCATGAGTTTAACCCCGCTGGTATGTGAACACAGAGTGTTAAGGAATGCTCAGTGCTCCTCCCGCTGGCTGTGTCCCTTTGAAGTGCTCTGAAGTGTCTGGCTGTCAGGTGAAGTGCTCTAAATTGCCTCTCCGGGATCGGGCACCGCTCTATGCTAGCGGTTCCTTTCGGAAAGCAGCCGATGTTTTCCTGCCGCGGCTGAGCGTGACCCAGCTGATTAATGTGTGCTCTTTTGGAGCTGCTTCTGGAGGTTTGACAGCGTTCCCCTCACGCTGTCTGTAACTGAAACAGGCGGTATGTGTTGCTTTGGGGTTGAGGAAGGCTGATCTTGCTGGTTTGGGGGGAGATCTGCCCTGACACCTCTGTGGCCCCATCGGTGATGCATGAGATTTCTGAACCTCGGCGTCTCGTCGCAGAGCTGTTGGTGGATTCTGCAGTGTCTTGTGCTGATGATGGTATCCCAGCCAAAACCAGTTGTTTCTGCTCACTTTGCTTTGTGCTGCGCTGCCCAGAATGAGACAAGCTGTTGCATTACCTTTGCCTTTGTTTTCTCGACTCCATTCTTGGATGTGACTTGAGGGTTTCTTACTTCAGCAGATGATGATTTAATGGGAGTGAAAGAGTTGGCATTTTTTCTAACCCATCACAGCACTCCCTGTGGCTTGTGTTGAAAAACCAATACCTGTTTACCTCTCCTGGGTGCCAGGTCCCCCCGAGAGTGGTGGCTGTGGTGTGGGCAGCTTGTTTCCCTCCACAGTTGCTCTCAGCTCTGCCTCGGGCCGGTGTGGAAGACCCCAGAGTCGGATAAGCAGGAGGGGAGAGGGACCCGTCTGTTGCTGTAGCTCGCCTTGCGGGCGATGGCGTGCTTGTCCTTGCAGCACCCCAGCCCTTCGGTGACCCCGAGCGTGTCTGTCAGGCTGTGAAATGGCACAGGGGAGATGCGTGCTTCCCCTCGGTGCTGCCAGCCATGAGCAGCTATACTTTATGCCGTGATACGTGCCAAATCAGCAGGTGCTGGCCGCTGTTGCAGGCTGGGGGGGTGGTGGTTTTGCTGCCGATTTCCACCCCACCCGCATTCCTCAGCTCTCTCCATGTCCCTTTTCAGAGGGAGCCTAGCTCTTTAACTCGTCAGATTTTTTTTTTTGTTTGTTTGTTTGTTTACTGCTCTGATTCTTCTAGATTACCCTCTGTGGCAAAGCACAGCTGCAGGGACGGTCCTTTGGTTGGGCTGGGCAGGGTTGTTCCCCCGAGGTGGTGCCGATGGGCTGTGTTGGCAGAGGAGCTGGTGTGTTCGGGCGGGGGCTGGAATGTAAGGTTAACGTTTCCATTTTCTTCCCTCAGGCACCTGAAGGATGTGATCCTGCTGACAGCTATTGTCCAAGTGCTGAGCTGCTTCTCGCTCTATGTCTGGTACTTCTGGCTCTTGGTAAGCCCCTGCGGTTTTCCTTGTTGCCCTACGTTGTCCTTGTCTTTCCCTGCCTTCAGGGCCGAGGACATTATTTGCCTATTTTATTTCACGGTGTCCTGTTTCAGGCCAAAACTACTTGCTGATAAAGTTTTTTAACTATCAAATCTCATTAAAAATGAGGCTGTACAAGGGAAAGAAGTCCTGATCCCTTTGGGTCAACCATGCAAAAACTAGGCTGGCCTTGGCCTTTCTCTCTGGTCCTGTGAAAGGGCAACAAGAAACATGAGGCAGATCAAAGTCATCTTTGTGCGTAGAGCCTTTATGTGACTGTGACAAACAGACTGTGCTGCTTCTTGTTTGGTTTTACCATTCATTCGCCTGCACGGACTGAGGCTGGGAACTGCCGGACACTGCGCCGCTTGGCAGATCAAACGCTGTAGGCTTTGATTTCCCCTTAACACACCAGCCTCTTTCTACTCCTGAAACATTTGTCATGTGCCTCCAGCTAAAACCGCTTTTGCAGGAGGCCAGAAAATCTCCAGTTAGTTAAAAAAACCCCAGAGGTGCTTTGAGTATATCCCACAGAGGTATAAAAGGCAATGTTGGGAGCGCAGAAAGTTACCTCCTTTCAGTCCTTGCTCACAAGTTCCTCTCTAGTTGGCCTGGCAGAGGGCAGCCTACGCTCTGACTATCCCCTGGAAACCATCTGGATCGCTTTTTTTTTTTTCTTTTTTTTTTTTTTTTGAAATTCAAAGAAATGTGGGTGTGTTTTCTGAAGGAGGGGGAAGCAGAATGTCTGGGCTGTCGAATCTTCCTGGATAATTCAGACCTGATGTTGAGATTTCCATATATAAAGCCCAAGTGCTGTATACGTAGGCAAGCTCCTAAACCGTATGAAATCAGGCTGTTTGGTTGGGACGCTTGCCACTGCCTGTGATTTCCGTGCACCCTGTGATGCCCCTGATCCCAGCCTGCAGCCATTCCAGCTCCTTTGGCTTCCACGGTGGGACCAGCCCTCCCGACTGTAGCCCCCGCCCCGCCAGAGCTGTCCCCAGAGTGACCCGAGTTTGTGCCCCGCGTGTTTTGCAGGCTCCGGGGCGCGCGCTCTACCTCCTGTGGGTGAACATCCTGGGACCCTGGTTCACAGCGGACTCCTCGCTCGCCGGTCAGGAACCAAACGAGAAGAAGCAACGCCGACAAGAACGCCGCCAGATGAAGCGCTTTTAGCCCTGGCTGGGGAGATAGATTTAACGCTGTCTCTCATCTCCATGCTGTTATTTCATCAGGGATGCGACCGAAACCAATCCGAAACCATCGCAGTAGCTGTTGCCCTCTGTCATTGCTGCCATTCCGCTAGAAAGGCCGCGAGAGACTTCCCTTGGTTGGCTCTGAGTTGCCAGTCAAGGCCTTGCTCCTTGGGCTGACAAGGCGGGGATGATGCTGGGATGAGTGTAAACACCTTTTTAAAGCAGCGCCGTATTGCGACTGAGGTGGGGGATTGCAACGCTGGAGGAACCAGTACATTAAAGAGCAGAGCCTAATTCACTGCGCTGACGGTGTGTTCCTACGGGGGTGCTCGCAGAGGGGAGCTGTTAAAAACATCAGCACATTTCTGAAGGCCTGGCCCAGAGGGAAGCAAAATCCCTCCCCCCCCCCCCCCCCCAGACAAGAGGGCTCCCCCCTTCCCAAGCTTGCTGCGCGTTGCCCTGCCCGCAGCAGCAGGGCTGCAGCTGCCCTGCCAGCGTGGGTGGCTGGGGGTGCTCTGATCTGGGCTTGGGGCCAAGCACAGAGCTTTTGGGATTGAGCCCGGGGCGCTCTAGAGAGAGGAATTGGCCTGTGCTACCTTTGGGGGAAGCTCAGGGGGATGAAAGGCAACAAGAAGCTAAAACCAAATCTGGGAGTTGTTTTGTTTTTTATTGAAAAAAGGGCTCTCCCAGGGGGTGGTAAAGCCAGGGTGCCATGGCTGCTGCAGAGACCCCGTGTTAGGGACCAGGAACAGCTCGGAGCAGCTTCTGCTTTTGCCTGCTTTGATTTATTAACGTTGTCCCTGCCCGGTATGTTGTTGTACACTCCCGTGACCCCTTCCTGCTCCTGACGCACCAGCTGGGAGCCATGCAGCTTCGCTTGTGCGAGCGAGACGCGCAGTCCCTGGTCACAGTGGTGCCAGCTGGGCTTTTGATGCTATCCACAACCTTTTGCCCAAACATTGTCTCCATTACATCATTTTTATTACACGCTTTTTCCTTACATCAAGCCCAATCCCCACCTGGAATAGTCCTGTGCCTCAGAGCCGGGCAGAGCGGCTGTAGTTGGGGTGCAGAGCGATGGTTAATTGTGGGCAAATATCTACAAGGTGGAGAGGGTGGGGGAGAGCAGAGGTTGGTATTTGAGGGATTAAAATCCTTCCTGCTCATGGGGGGGGGGGCCACAAGGGAAGGAGTCAGCAGGAAATGCATGCACAGGGCAATCGGGGGGGTACGGGCCAGCCCTTATTCCCTGCCAGGCACAGCCCAGAGCCCCCAGCCCCGTCTCCAGGACCTGAGTAGGTGCCCCCGCTCTGCTGGGAGCACCCCCTGGTCCCCTAAGGGCATTCACACACCCCCCCCCAGCCCCCAACATTGCAACTACCCCAGCAAAGCCTCCTGCACCTCTGGGGGACCAGCACATCTCCCCAGCTCTGCCCTCCCTCCCCTCTGACCCCTCTTCTCCAGCTCCCCGAAGCCCCGCGGAGCTGCGCAGCCATCCCCAAAACACACAGGGGACGGGGTGGGGTGGGGTGGGGGACACACACACATCAACACTAACCACACCGGCCCTCTCTCGGCCACGCTACCCTAACACAGCAGTACATGCACAGTGGCCCCCCCACCCCGGGGGCAGGGGGGAAGCCCAGGCTCTGCCCTCTCCTCCAGGCTCCAGCCCCAGTAAATATCCAATAAATGGCACCAGTTACACCCTTGGGGTGTTTGGGGGGGGGGGGGGGGGGGGGGGAGCGTGTTGAGGGGGGAAATGCCCCTCAGTCAGGCAGCAGCTGCTCCAGCTCCTCCTCGTTCAGGCCGTTGGTGGTGACGATGTGGTCCAGCTGCTTCATGTACCGCTCCAGGTCCTGCATGAAATGGGGGATGCGGGCTTTCTCCAGGACCCCAAATTTCTTCAGTCGATTCACATCTTCATAGGAGACCTGAGGGGAAGGAGGGGGAGATGGTCAGCACCACCACCACCCCCCCGCCCCGGCCATCCCAAGCCCTGCCAGGGGCCAAGGAGGGCGTCTGGGCTCCTCTGCAGCCCACCTAGGTCACCCCCCACCTCCCCAACACCCCTCCTGCCCGTGGGGAGGCACCAGCAGAGCTGCTCGGGGTTGGGGGGGTGGGGATTGCAGGGGTTTGTGGTTTTGGTCATTTTCTGTCACCGCAGGGACGGGTGACAGCAGGCTGGCTGCGGCGGAGGCCCAAGCAGCACAGCCAGCAGAGCTGAACCTGCTGGGATAAGCCTCCCTGCGAAGGTCTCCCACAGAGGAGGACGGAGCATCCCGTCCTTCCTCACATCCCGCCCGGCACAGCCTCTCCCAGCTCCCGCGAGCCAAGAGCTGAAGGGCCCCCACAGCCGAGGGCTTGTTTTCAGGGCGCCGAGGGAACCCACGCGAGCTTTGGGGTGGGATGGGGGCTCTGGGATCAAGCCCCGCCCCCCCCGGGGCCGTTACCTTTCCAAGCGCAGCCAGCAGCGGGAAGTCGATGGTCTGGCGATGGCGCAGGATGCGGAGAATCCCGTCCAGGTAAACCTGGTCCTTACTGAAACAGCCTGGAAGAGCGGGAGAGGCTGGGGAGAGGGAGCCCGGCTCCCCACCGCCCTCCACTCACCCGAATGTAAGCTCACAGCAAGAACCGGAGAGATTGCGCGGGACTGGGGTGACACAAGCATGCCAGGGCTCAGCTGCTGCTGGTGCCACGGCCAGAACCACTGGGTCCCAAAGGATGAGCCACCCCAGTGCTGGGAGCAGTGCTGGGTGCAGCGAGAGTCCCGGGGGCAAGGATGACAAACCTCTCACTGGGATGGATTTTTTTTAACGGCAAACCACTGCAAGAATCTAAAGCCATCCCCCCCGAAATGCTCATTTTTGCCTCTCCTTTGGCTGCTGCCTCCCTGGGAGCTTGCGCCAGTCGCTCCCGTCAGACTGCAACCACCACGGTCTGGGGCTCCTGGGGTGGGGCAGGGGGGGTGCCCACCCATCCCCACCTGACCCCGAGCAGCCGAAGAGCTGATGTGCCAGGACCGCACGTAAACCCATAGGAGAGCGGTGCCAGGGATGGGGAGGGATGCAGCAGGGGAAGGGCAGAGCCACCCTTTCAAAGGCTGCCATGGCCACAGGACCAGGGATGCTCAATCCACCCAGCAGCAAAACATATCCCTCTACCTTTGTTTTTTTGGTTGGTTTGGGGGCTTTTTGTTGTTTTTGGTTGGTTGGTTGGTTTGGTTTGGTTTTGTTTTTGTTGTTTGTTTTTGTTATTTTGTTGGTTGGTTGGTTTTGGTTTTTTTTTGGCTGTTGTTTTCGTTTTTGTGGTTTGTTTTTTTGTTTGTTTGTTTGTTTGTTTGTTTTTGGTTGGTTGGTTTTTTTGGTTGGTTGGTTGGTTGTTTTTTGGTTTTTGTTTTTTTTTTTTTAATAAAATCCCTTCCAAAACCCAAAAGCTTTGCAACCCCTGAGCAATACCTGGCCGTGAGGTGTCGGTCTGGCCCCGCTTCGCCCGCACGCAGTATTCCCACCGGACGCCGGCGTCCTGGACGTACTGCTCCAGGTCCTGGAAGAGGGCGGAGAAGGAGAGGCGGCTGGCCCTCTCGATGGTGTAGTAGAGCAGGGCTGCCCGCCACAGGAAGGGCTGCTTGCGGAAGAGGACGCTGTGCAGGCTGGCCAGGCCTTCCTCCGTGGGGTTGGCAGGCTTCAGGCTGTACTGCTTGCGGCCCTCGGAGCTGTGCCAGGGCTGGCGGGTGTTGTTCACCCCCCGGATGTAGTGGGTGCCTGGGGAGGGGGTTGGGGGGGGTGGGGGGGTGGAACGGGAGCGAACGCCGTCGGCCGCAGCCTCCAAAAAGCTTGACCCCCGTCCCCGCCACCCCCCCCCGAGTCGCTGGGCTTGGGGCTGAGACCCAACACCCATGGCTGGTAGCTCCAGTCTTGGCTGGAGATGCTGCCGATGGGCCCTTCTGCTTGCTTCAGTGCCCAGAGTAGGGGAGGGGGGGGGGGGAATGTGGGTGCGTGCCTGACACCCCCCCACCCCACACTCGGACCCTCAGCCCCTTCTGAAACCTGCCCAGGAGCACCCCTCCAGCACACCCCCCCCCCCTTGCAGGACCGGGTGGGTACCACCTTGCCCCGTGGTCCCCGCAGCCCCCAGGCCGTTATCCCAGTGCCAGCAGGAGGATGCTCACAGCACCCCCCGGGCCCCTGCTCTGCCCGTCACCCACGGCCACCCCCCCACTGACCTATCTCGTGGCGCAGCATCCCCTCCAGCCAGTGCTGCCGGGCTCCGGCCAGGTTGATGGCCAGCGTCGGCCGGCTGTCCTCCACCATCATCACCGCCTGGGACAGGAGGTCGTCGGTGAGCTGCACCACCACCTGCAGAAGAAGAAAGAGGCAACCGCCATCAGCACTGCTGCGGGGAGGGGGAATTGCTCAGCAAGGGGTCTGGGTTCTAAACAGGGGCTGAGGTGGTGGTGGGTGGTCACAAAAAGCCACCGGTGCCACGGGCGGCACAGTCCGGTGCTGCTGCACCATCACCAGCTTGTGCTGCAGCTTCCCAAAGAAACCACAGGCAGCAGGAGCAGGCAGGGAGGGCACTGGGGGGGGGGTTGCCGAGAGGAAAGAGATCATCCCACGGGGGATGAAATAACTCCTTTCACCTCTTTCTTTACAGCCAGCAAACCTAAGCGGGCACCATGGGGGGAGTGGGCAGCTCCTTCACACTCTCCTCCAGCACCCCTCTGGCTCCAGTCTCCCCACAGCTCCCCCCTCAGCTTGTTCCCATGGGCTCCCCACTATTTTATGGCCACACATAATGGGTGTCTTCTGGAGACCCGCCTGGTCCCACTCCTGCATCCCCCCGCTAGCAATGGGTCACCAAAACAACCCTGCTCTAAACAACCAACAGCACCTGCTTCGGTATGGGTCTGACCTCTACCCCCCACCCCGCCCAATAAACATCCCATGAGGGAACCAAAACACAGCTCTGGCTGCATCTTCATGGACTCTCCTGCAGATTCTCCCTTTCAAGGCTCAAAGACCTGAGCGGTGAGGATGGAGCCACGCCAGCCCACCCTTGCAGAAGGAATCGCGCAGGCCAGTCACAAGTCACAGCAGAGATGGACTAGGGAATATCTTTAAACAGAAAAAAAACCCAGCTATTTTGGGAAACCTGGCTATTGCAAGTGCTGGAGCCAAGACAGTTGCTCTACATTAACATGAGTTAACGTGCCAGCCAAGCAGCATTTTCTGACCGTCTGACTTCAGATCTGCAGTGACTTGAAGCTGCAGCATCACCGGAGGAGACAGACCCAGGAGCTCTTGCATCCAAGGTTCGGCCATGGCAATGCTCAGGACCTTCAAGCATGTACCAATCTCATCTCAAAACCATTCTGCCACATCCTTATTAACTCTAAAAGACACCTCTTATTTCACAGCTGACATTTTTCAGGATGAAAACGTGCACACAACGACAATTGTTTTCTCTTATTTAAAAAAAAAGGAGAGGAGACTGAATGGGTTTGCTTCAACCCAGATTTATTATTGTGCAAAGCTGCTCATGAAAGCCAAAAGTGCAACATAACAGAGCAGAGTCTACCACTGGGCAAATGAACAGCATAAAATACTTACAGTGTAATTGCTTACCTGGATTAAGAGACTGGCCAGTTCACTTTGGACTGCTGTGCATCCTTGAGCTTTATTTCTGCTCCAGTAAGCAAACCAAAATAAATAAGGGTCACATTTTTGCTGCCCTCTCCCACGCCCAGGCATGGGCCTCAGTCACCTGGGACAAACTGAGGCAGGGAACTGATCCGGACTAAAACTGGTTTTATGCTCTAGGTTAGTTTCCAGCAAGATTATCACCCCCAGCCACATGAGCTCCCATGGGGGGCTCTTGGCAGGGAGACTTTTGGCAGCAGCACCAGCTTCTGCTAACAGCCCCGACTGGAGCTACAACAGACAGGGAAGGTTAGGGCTTCACTGCAAGCAGAAATAAGGAGGCAGAAATGAGCCAGGTTTTGGTATGATTTTAACCAATTCCAATCTCTTAGGTCAGCTCCGTGTGCTGGGAATACAGCCCGGATGCCCAACACGCAATCCCAAATGCAACTGGTGGAGGCTGAAATCCTGGGATGCGGGGAAGGGGAGAGCCAGGGGACGGAGTTCAAACCAAAAGGAAGGTCATGCGGAATACATTTCATCGTCACAGCACTTTTCCTGCTCCCTCGAAGGTGCCGAGGCACAGAACTGGTGCCCAGGTCTTCGCTGCCCCACCTGCAGCTCTTGCAGGGAGCGCTGGAGGCGACGCGCCGTGCCAGCCGGAGCTCCAGTACCAGGATACAGGAGCTGGGAGCGGTCCGCAAGGCCAGGTCCCCATCTTGTTCTCTTGTCATGCTTCATTGCCCCTATGCGGGTTAAAAAATAAACCCCAAGGAGGTTAGAATTTAAGATACTAGATGCAGGAAAACTAAGTTCTTTCTTAGGATAAATGTTATCATTCTTACATCTGCTTTCCCCCAGCCTATTAAAAAAAATACCACCCGCTCCCCACCCCCCGAGCTCTTCCTCTCTGCTTTTTCCCATTTTCCAGTAGCTCATCCTTGGCCACGTTATGCTGGATTCCTCCAGGCACCATCCCCCAGCGACAGGGATTCAGCAGCTCCAGGTCCCCCGTACCAGTGGGACCCGCTGCGGTGGAGGCAGCCCAGCCAGTGGGTTTTGGGAGGCTGGTGTTCGCTTGGCATCCCCCCAGCAGTTCAAGTTTCTTTTGTGTGATTTGAAAAGCCATCTCCGAAAACAACACTAGGAGCCCCAGCACAAGTGAAATACTGGGTAAGCCCGGGAGTTTAACTATATTGAGTGTTACATGGGTAAATGCTCCACACAGCTCATCTCTGCCGTTCTGGTGACCTCCAGCTCTCCCTTCCCATCTGCACTGGCACCTTACTCCCCGCCCCTAAAGGAAGCTCTTTTATTATAACCCAGGTGTCTGTCCATCACCTCTCCATGGATTTTTTCCTCTGCTGTACTGGGAATGCCATGTCCTGCATCCTACTTCCCTGCTGTTACCCAGGCTAGCACCCAAGCATCCTGCCAGGGCTGCACTTGCCTAGAGATACACCCTGCGTTAATAAGTATTAAGGAACATTTGCACCAGAGTGCTCTGGCCTTCAAAGAACTGATTTTTGTATGATCGGGGAGGGGGGCTTTATGCTACAGGACAAACCAATGGTCACCAGGCTGGGCATTCCCATCTTGTGATGGCACAGGGCTTCGGTGCTAAAGCTCCAGCATCAACCATCTGCTCACATAATTCAATGTGAGCACCCAACGAGCATCAATCTTCACTATCGTGCCCAAACGGGAGGTAGGCTGAACAGTCCCAAACCAAACTTTTTCCTTTTTCTTTTCCTATCTGATACCACCATGCACAAGGTGAGCAAAGAGAAATGCAGCAAACGGCTGGAAAATAAGAGGCATCCACGGACACGATGCTCGGCACCCTTGAGGATGCAATGCTCAGCACTGAAACCAGGTCTTGAATGAGCCCTTTTTAGGCAAGGCAGCAAGAGTGGGAATGAAGACTGAAGCATTCCCTAGGATACAGCGTCTGGAGAAAGATCCAAGGGCACAGAAAAATTTGGTGTGCAACAAGCTGGGACACTGCTGGAGGCCGAGCACAGAGGAAAGGGTGTACTTGAAGCAACTGGTCTGTGTTTTCAGGAACCAAGGAAAACTCCACACAGAAACATCCCAGAGCCTTTAGAGGAAGAATTCAAGTTAGAGGGAGCACTGTTGATTTTTTTTTTTTTCCTCTCTAATGGTGAAGAAATGGTAAAGGCAACACAGAAAAAGCAACGGTCAACTGTCATATGGAGAAGAAACTGTCTTTCCCTGTAAAGAGCTCAGTAGCATCAAATGAAGTGATTAGGAAGCAGATTCAGGACGAAGAAGCACCAACAAACGGAGCAACCCACCGCAGGAGGTTTGCTACAGTTCCCAATCAGGTAGGCAAATTAACAGCAGGAGTATTGTAGGCAGAAACGCCCCCCGGCTCAGGGAGACCCGGGGCTGCTGCTGCCTGGAGAGAAATTCCTAATCCCCGTCCCAAAGGTGGAAAGATCCTGGGACAGAGCTGGGCAAGGGAACGAGGGACAGGAACAGATTGATCCAGTGGTTGGGAAACAGGATCAGACACTGCTCAGAGAGGCCGAGAGCCCCTGCAGCCGCGGGTACAGCTGCAGGTTGCAGTCCCCCCGCGAGAGCCGACGACACAGATGCGCCCAGGGGCCACCACGGTGAGCAGATGATGGGTACAACCCCCATGATGTCACTCTTCGGGTGTCAGTCTGACGATTTTTTAGAGGCATTGGCTTGGGTTATTTTATTCTTCCTCCTACTTTGATAATGGGGTGATATAGCGTTGTTTTCTCATCTTAAACAGAGGTGCCGAGAACCACCCTGTGCTGAGCCAGCCATCTGGGAGCGATGGGAAGGGACCCTCAGCAGCATGAGAGAGCTCAGCTTCACACACTCCCGTTAAGCTGCCCACAGCCCTTCTCTGGCTTCAGCCGGAGCCGAGCAGCACCACTTGCCTTATTTTGGGACCCTCCCGCTTTGCAGGTGCTGATACAACAGGGGCTGCAACTTCAGCCAAAGTCCCACTCCCAGAGCAGCAGTGCCACCTCTCCAGGTTTGTGACCTCTCTCATTTTGAGCAGGTTCCCCAGCGCATCCTCACGGCCCACGAAGCTTCTGCTCGGCTTTTGTGGATGTAACGACGGAGAAACAGCTCATCCCCAGCAACCAAGGGAAGGCTGCTGATGGCCCCCACGGCACCAGGGCATGGGCTCCTGCCTCTCCCCAGCTCCCTGGTGCTTGTCAAGAAATGCATGCCAAGAAAGCGCCGGCACTGAGCAGCTCAGAGGCAGAGGGGCACCACCAGTGGGATCCCAGGAGGTGCTAGCTAGTGCTATTTAGGCTAACAACATTTCACAACGCCAGGGGATGCCACGCAGCACTTACCAACGGGGCCAGGCATTTATCTGCAGCAAACCGGGAGCTCGCCGAAAACCATTATGGAGACCTCGGAGCTCCATCAGCGTCACCTTGATCCTGAGCCAGGAGAAAAGCAGAAGAGCTTCAGGATCAGCAGCTCGGACCCCAACAAAGAAGCTTTTGAAGACGCAAAGTTAATTATAGGGCAAATACTTACCCACGAGCACGCTGCCTGCGGTGTCAGAAAGCGGGATCCTGCCTTTGCTGATCGGCGCCGGGGACAAAGGGTGACTGCCACCAGCCTGGCAGCGCAGGCAGCTGACACATCAGTGGGTCAATCACTGGGCTAATGTAACCCCCCAGCCCTAGAGTTTCTTCTTTTTTTCCTTTTTTTTTTTTTTTTTTTTTTTTTTTTTGGTTAAGAAAGCCATCACAATTAGTACATATCAAGGAAGCAAATGGCACGGCAGCAGAGACAGGGCACGGCAGGTGAAAGTCAGGAATTACAGATACAGGCGCAGGGAAGGAGATACACATCTGAAACCACCCCGTTCCCCAGCAGGGTGTTAACAGCGACGCAGAAGTTTCAGCAAGGTTTTCTCCTGTGTGGGGAGCAAGCTTTGCCAACATCGCTGTAGAGAGAGCAGATGAAACCCTTCCTTCTTTCCTGCCCCAGAGAAATCCAGTCAAATTTGTAGTGGGTGGGAACGAACAAACCAATGCTTTAATGGTTTTAAAAGCACTTATCAAAAGTTTTGGATAAAAGGGCCATGTATCTCGCATGTTGATGTGCAAACATAATTATGTGTGTTCCCTTGAGCAATGGGAAAATTACACAGGGCTGGAAGGAAGCCAGTTGTACACCAATATATAAGAAAAAAGGTGGCCTTCTGCCCAGCCAGAGCTCAATTCAGGTTAGATTAACAGAGAAGAGCAAAATAGCTGAATTTAATCGATTAACAAAAATCAAGAGATAGACCATAACCAGCAAGTCATAAGCATAGGTCTGTAAGTAAGACTGGCCAGCTGCTGGGTTGAGTATTGGGAATGGTTCTGGGTGCTAAAAGGCAGCTGAATAGAAATATATAGATATAGGGAGAGACTTGCAGAGACCTTTTGTGTCCTAAGCAAAGGTTTAGGAAGACCAAGGTGCCAAAGCCACACCCCAGGGACATGTCCAGGAGGGATGAGGGCAAACCAAGGAGGCTGGAGGAGGAATGTCCCCTGGGCAGGTGGGACCTCAGGGAGCTGCTCGCTCCTGCTTTTGCAGCCATGAAATGCCCTGGGTGCTGCCGAGCAAGCTGATGCTTCAGGGAAACGCTTGAGAATGACCCTGTGTGGAGATGGAGGTGAAAAAACAGAACTAGGAGAAATAGTTTGGCCAAGAGGCAGCAGTGAGGGAGCCCTCCGCACCAGCCAACACTGCATGGCCTTCTGCCCTGCAGCCTACAGCCAAAGGCAGCCCCACGAGCCAAAAAAAAACAAAGCCAGGTCCAGAAATCCTGCTCAGTGCTTGAACCCGGGACAGTGGAAGTGTTTTACCCACACCTTGCTGGCAGAAGAGGAAAAAAAGCCCCTTAACTGAAGCTGTGGGCCATCGCACGCTAGGTGCTGCTGGGGGCAGAGACAAACCAGATTAAGAGGTGATGAACTTCCCCGCGCTTTCATCCCACATGGCTACTGTCATATCTTAACCACGTATATCCCAGCCTTAAAACCTGAGGCTTGGGGTTTCAAAGAGCTGTAACCCGGCACATCTCGCAGGAAATCTCGCCCCTGGCTTTGCTTTTGGACACGTGAGAGAAGGCAGCTGCCGGAGATGTCTGCCATACCACCGCTAACAGCAAGAGATGGCTTCTCAACGGTAACTGATGCCTCATGCATGCAGCAAAAGGCTTCTCGCACAATCGTGCGGAGAAGCAGCAGCTCCTCTCTCTCGCATAAAAGGGAGATATACACCGAAAAAAATCATGAGAAATTGGTGGGGAACCAGCGCCAACATCCTAACACCAGGCTACAGCGAACGCAGCCAAGCTGGAGGCGAAAGAACACTGCTGCTCAGACTAGAAAAGTTTCTGCTTTGTACCCAAAACACTTCTTAATCCGAGTCTTTTTTTACCAGAAAATGAGTATTTTGCAGTTGTATCACTTGTAACAAGGGACAATGCAGGGACGCAGATTACCTCTCCCAGGCAGCCTTCCTTCTGCATGTACTTTCGGATCACGGACCAGATCTGGCACTTGCTCAGCAGCCTCCCGCCCGTGGCGACTTCGAAGCTCTCGTAGGTCCCGTACTTCTCCAGGACGGCACGAATGATCCTGATCGCCTGTCGCACGCAGAAACAAAACATCAGGGGCAAACGTCCTCCCCGCTTATAAACACATCTTAAAACCCCACGTGCCATAAACCCCAGCAGACATAATCCCTGATAAGCGCCTGTAAAGTGAGACATGGTTTTGCAATGCCTAAAAAAAACAAGGAGACTGAGCCAGCTGGAGGTAGCCACCAGGACAGATGGACACGTAACGCAAGCAGCATGACCCATAGTATATTCTTTCTGCTTTTTATCCCTCTTGCAAGCATCTGTTGCAGGAAGCAGGCAAAGCAGAAGCGAAAAAGCATCATCGCAGCATGCTGCCTCTGGAGGATAAAGCCGTGATTATTTTCATCTTTTCTGCTTTCGGTTCTCCTTTCAAACTCTAGCTGATCAGCTTGCTTTTTTATTCTGAGAGTTTCTTATTGCAGTGCTGGCTTGCAAGCCTGGGCACCACCCTTTGCAGCGATGCTGCTTCCTCCTCTTCAGCCAGGGTCTCAGCACAGCCAGCCTGCTGCACACAACAGCCTTCTAATAAAAGCAGCACGTGCTATTTTATTAGCATTAACATTTATGGAGCATCTATAAAATACGAGCAATTATTAGCACGTTTCCTTCCCCAAAAGTGTGTCTTCATTGTAGATATTTTCAAGCAATGACTTTCTCCAGCCTATTAATACATATTCCAAAGCACACGGTGACAACTTTGAACAGTTCTGGAGTTTTTCCAGCAGTTTCATGGCACCTGTAAACCTGGGTGAGCTGCCCAGCCCAGGACCAAGCGCTGCTCCTGAGTGGTGGGTGTTTTACCTCCTCCTGCTCTGCAAACCCCCCTCGCTCTCATCGGGGCTCCGGGCAGCACCCGGAGCCCTGCAGAGGAGATCCCATCCCCTCCCTCATCCCTAAGGACGCCCCGGACCAGGAGATGGGTGCTCACCACCAGTACCAGCACTCAAACCATCCGACCTCCTGCAAAGGGGCTTCGTGGTCTGCGCCTGGTGACCAGCCTCCCCTAGCCCAGCAGAAGGTCCTGATTTTTCCATCCCTGAACAGTTTTCTCTGCACAGCTGGTTTTTATTCTCAAGTCACTTATTGTGTCTTTCCAGAAGAAGTTGTGCGGGGGGGGGGGGGAGGGTGTTTGTTGTTGTTTTTTTTTTGTTCGTTTTGTTTTGTTTGCTGAACGATCAGGATCGTTTTTGCAGCGCCACAAGGTACCTTCTGCTGACAGTGGCACAAAAAGGACCATTTCTTCCGCCCACCTCTGCTCAGCCACTTGCTTTCTCCTCCCAGGGGACCTCAAGAACCGAGCCAAGAGAAACCCAGCACAGCTGGTGCCCAGGAGTAAGACAACCAAGGGGAATGCTCCCTGCTGACCTCCAGCGCACGTCCTGGCGAGCAAAATTCCTAAGATACCAAGTTCAGCGTTCAAGAGGCTGCTGAGCATCCCCGGGCAGCCCGAAATCAGGCACCCACCTCACGCAGTGCCATAACAAATTCTCCAGCCCCGGCTCCGTGCTGGTGCTGCTCACATTCCCGTGACAAACCAGGGACTTAATCTCCGGGGTGATGAGCCTCCATGGGGCTAGAAGAATTCTTCTGGTTCATTTAAATTTTCTATTAAAAGAATAAAACAACCCCCCAAGCACGTGCAGAGCAGCTGGTGGAGCAGCAAGCTGGAAGCAGGGAGCTGGTGTTGGTTTGTCTGCTCTTGTCCAAGGATGCCAGCTTAGCAAAATATCTCATTTATTTAAGTTCCTCAATTAATGCCAGTTTTAAAAATAAAAGCAGTTTATAGCTAACAGTTAGCTGGCAAGGAAAAAGGTTTCCCCAAATAAAAGAGACTGGAAGGAGGTTATTGCAGGGTACAAGAGAAGGAACAGGGACAAAAATACTGTCCCATCACACTGGAGAACTTGGAGAAACATTGGTAGAAATGCTCAACACTTAGTATCTCTTGCAAAGGGTTTTAGGGTCCAGGGTGAGACCATTCACACTGGTTAGGAACACTTAATTTCATTTATTGAAAGTAATGCGCAGAGAAAAAGAATCTCAATTGCTAATCTTTCACTGTATTGTAAGTCAACTGTACTAAAAGAGAAAGCAAGGGGGGAAATAGCTCTGAACAACTCCTTTTACCACATTACTCGGAGAATAGAATGCACTTAAATCCAGGAAGAACACCCTGAAAAACCAGTGAGGTCTTTACAGGAGTCAGACCATCTCCCCTGCAACAGCATCGCTGGCACCAGTTTATCTGGGGCAGAGTTACTGGAAATGACTAACTGCTTAGAAAGCTGTTTACAGAAAGAGCCTGAATCATCTGGATAAGAATTCAGGCAGAGATATAGGAAGTAATACAAGAAAAAGAAAACATTCAAAGACCAGTAAATGAGTAAGCTGTTATTTGAAACACCAGCCGTAAGATCCGACTAGGAGGTCTAAAGAGACGCCTCTGGCGTGCAAGTTTGAATCCAGGATAAAAGTTTTTTTTTTTTATCTGCTCCCTCAGATGCAGCTGAAAGGGGTCTGTGTGGCAGAGAAGATGCTCTTGCCAGAGGCGGGTTGCCCAGCTCGAGGAGCAAACCGATTCTGGGGCACGGCCGAGCTCCCGGCTCCGAGCACAGAGCGAGAGGCCGGAGCAGCCCCGTTCCTGCATCTGGGAAAGGCTCGTTTGCAGGCAGAGCACCAAGAAATCACGCTCCTGCCTGCTTCCTCCTGCTAAACCACCCGGTGCTGTTTGCTCACCGCCACCCAAGCACCGTTATTACCTGTGGCACAGAGCAGGTCAGGAATATTTCAGTAGCGTATGAGCGACAGAAGCAGTTAAGTAAAGTAACACCGACTGCCTTAAGCAGGGTCTACGCTGACTATTATCGTTACGAACCACTTTTGTCGAGGTGTTACGGATGCTGACACGCGAGCCGACCTTTAGGCCTTCCAAAAAACAAGCCAGACTTAACCCACCGGGTCATTCAGGCTAAGGACTGCTTCCCACGTGGTCACCCACGTGCTCCAGCTCCTTGTCCGTTATCTCTACGGTAAGATGTTGTAAAAAAAAAAAAAAAAAAAAAAAAAACAGCGAGGCATCCCTGATGGAGCATCAGCTCCCGACCACCACTGTGCATCCGTAAGCAAGAGCCAGTTTGATGCTGGTAGCATCACCAGTACGGCCACAGCCCACGGAGCACGTCCTGTTCCTGCGGGTGGGTGAAGCGACCAAAGAAGAGTTTGAGAAATACCGGGGTGGGTGCGCTGAAGGTGCTGCTGCAAAAGATGCTGAGCAGAGCAAGGCCGGGCAGCGGGAGCCGGGGAGGAAAGCAGGCCACGAGGTTTCACGCCGCCCGTGGACCAGCTCCGGGCTGGCGGCCCCACGCCGCTGGCACCGAGCGGGTGACGCCGCCCCACGCGAGGACACGCGCCCCTCCGCACCGCCGGGTTGCGGGGGAGCCGGGGTCCCCCGGTTCCTCCTCCCCCAGCCGAGCATCCCTCCCCGGCCCCGCCCGGGGCGGCAGCTCGGCGGGGGGAGCCGGGGGCTCCCCGCATCCCCCCGCCCACGCGTGACCCGCCGGCCCCGCCTCACCTGAGCCACGAAGCGATCGGAGGCGGCTCCGTACTTATCCAGCACGGCGGCGGGCACCGGCTCGGCGTACTCGAACTGCGGGTCGTAGGCGAAGCTGGCGCGGAAGAACCGCTCCCGTTCCGCCTCCACGTTGCGGGGCCGCAGCGCTACGAGCAGGCAGGGGCTCCGCCGCCCGCCGCCCTCCTCCCCCCGCCCCCGCGCGATGTGGGGCAGGGAGGCGGCGGCGCGCATCCCCCCGCGCCCCGCCGCGCCTTCGCTCCGCCGCATCCCGGCGCCGGTTTCCGACAGGCGCCGGGTCCCCCGCGGGCAACGGGGCGCGGGTGCCGGGCCCGGCGGCGGCGGGGGGGGGGGGGACGGGCAGGAGCAGAGCGGCGGGCCATGGCGGGGCGGCAGGCGCGGAGCGGCGCTGGGGCCCAGCCCTCCGGCCGCCGCCGCCCCCGGGTCCAGCACCATGGCCTCCAGCGCGGCGGCGGCGGCGGCGGCGGCGGCACGTGGGCTGCGCCGCGCCGCCCCCCGCCAATCGGCGCCGCGCCCGGCGCGCCAGAGCCAATGGGAGCGGAGAGCTTCAGGGAGAGCCCCGCCCCGCCGCGCTGAGCCCCGCCCCGCCCCGCCCGCCGAGCGGAGCGGGAGCGGGAGCGGGAATGGGAACGGAGCGGGAACGGGAACGGGAACGGGAACGGAGCGGGAACGGGAACGGGAACGGAGCGGGAACGGGAACGGGAACGGGAACGGGAATGGAGCGGGAACGGAGCGGGAACGGAGCGGGAACGGGAACGGAGCGGGAACGGGAACGGGAACGGAGCGGGAACGGGAACGGAGCGGGAACGGGAACGGAGCGGGAACGGGACGGGAACGGAGCGGGAACGGGAACGGAGCGGGAACGGGAACGGGAACGGAGCGGGAACGGGAATGGAGCGGGAACGGAACGGGAACGGGAACGGAGCGGGAACGGGAACGGAACGGGAACGGAGCGGGAACGGGAGCGGGAACGGGAGCAGGAACGGGAACGGGAACGGGAACGGGAACGGAGCGGGAGCAGGGCGGGAACGGAGCGGGAGCAGGGCGGGAACGGGAACAGGAGCGGAGCGGAAACGGGAACGGAGCGGGAGCGGAGGGGGAGTGGAATAGGAACGGGAACGGGAGTGGGAACGGGAGAGGGAATGGGAGCGGGAACAGGAGCGGAGCAGGAGTGGGGACAGGAACAGGAGCAGGAGCAGAGCAGGAACGGGAGCAGAGCGGGAACGGGAATGGAGCGAGAACGGGAATGGAATCAGGTGCGGAGCGGGAATGGGAACGGAGCGGGAACAGGAGTGGGAATGAGAGCGAGAATGGGAACGGGAGCAGGAACGGAGTGGGAATGAGAGAGCAGGAACGGGAGCAGGAACAGAACAGGAGCAGGAGTGGGAACGGAGCAGGAACAGGAGCGGAGCGGGAATGGGAGTGTAGTGGGAATGGGAGCAGGAGTGGGAGTGGGAACATTGCCAACCCCAGCTGTGTTGCTGGCCATGGCTGCAGCACCGGCCCCAGCCGTGTCACCAGTCCCAGTTGCACCGCCACCCTGGTGGCATTGCCAACCCCATTCGCATCGCCAGCCCCAGCTGCACCACCAGCCCTGGTTGCGTCGCTGAGCACGTGGCATCTCCCAAAGCCCCAGCTCCCGGGGTGCCGCCGGGCAGCGAGCGCCTCCGTTTTCGGTTACGGCTGGCTTTACTAACCCGCTGTGCAAGGACAAGGCAGGCTCAGCGCTCAGAAGCAAAGTATGTTTATTATTTTGTAAATCTGCTGCTTTCGAGTCGGTCTTGCCCGAGGAGCCTAGCTCACTGCCTGCACGCTGGCAGCTGGCAGAGGTGCTCTTGTAAGCCATACCCGCCGTGCCACCCCCGTGCCACCCCCGTGACCCCCCTGGTAAGTCGGAGCCAGCGCTCATCACGCAAGTTGCTCTGTCCCAAGTGAGCAGAGCCTACAGCACCGCGGACTCCACAGCCTCTAAAGTACCTAAACATGGCTTGCTAGCGACGAGGGCTTGTGTGTACGCCATAATTCACAAGTGTGGTGTTAATGAGCTGGCAGCGCGGTTAATTATCCACCTGCTAGTGGGAAGTGACAAGCCTCTGAAGTATAATTAATCGCCGTTCCCGAAAGAAAAACCAATCAGTGTGGAAGTGGGTGCCAGCCCATCCACTTGAGCTGTTGGTCTTGCTCTTTTTCCTTCCAAACTCAGCTCCGAGTCCTTTGCTCCCCTGCATGGCAGGCTGTGGTGGCTACCAGCATGGAGGGAAGCTGGCCCTCATTCCTTTCAGTTCTTTTTGGGCTCTTTAAGGACCTTCCATCCAGGTAGGATCTTCGCCCCCTTCCCTGCCTCCGGGCTGGCTCTCACCTGCCCCGGCTTCCCCTGCTCCTGTGGGCTCCCCAGCAGGATTTCGTTGATGGAACTAAGCGTCAGGTTGCTGAAGACCATGTTAAGGTGGTCGACACCTCGCAGCTCCTGGACATGCACCTTCTGCTTTTGCTGGTCGCGCCATCGCTTGCACAACTCCAAACTGCGTCTGTTGACGGTGTCGTCCCCGTCGCCATAAATCATGTCCACGGGGTCCTCGTAAGGGAAACGCTCGTCATATATGTAAGTCTCCACGGTGGGGTAGCCTGTGCCGTAGAGGCAATACGTGTCCACCCCAGGAGGGGGTAAGCCCTTCAGCAAGTCCTTCATGTCCTCCCACATGTACCAGCCGTCCTCCAAGTTGACGTCGGTGAAGAAGCGTCGGTAGTCCCGGTACGTGTAGTTGTAGGAGGGCGTGGAGATGAAAACGTGGGTCTCAGGCCAGGCCAGGCTCGTTGGGAACATCCAGGGGCTGGTGGTGGTCATGCGCTGCTCTTCGCGCAGCTTGATGTTGGACATGAGTGGAATGCCCTGGTTGTCACCTGCAGGACACAGAGGGGCTCATCACAACCAGCGCTGAAATGTACCCTTGCAATGGTGCCCCTTGGGCTGTTGTTCTGGGGTCGGCCCCTCCAGCAGCAACCTACAGCTGTCTCCTGGCTGAGCCATGGTTCCAGCTCAGAGATATTCCCCTGTTTACCCCTGCCCTGCCCACGACCATGGGTCCTCTCCTCACCTCTCTGGCTGCAGATATCCAGAGCAACCTTCCAAACTCTTCTCTCCGACATCCCACCTCTAGCTGCTAGGAGGGGGTGAGTGTAGACAAACCTGGATGGGTGATGGCCCTGACCAACCCAGCTCTGGACTCTCCCTGCAGCCCCGGCACTTCCACGCCTGCTTGCAGGGACAGGAGTGGGCTGAGCCCGATGAGGGTGCTGATAGCAGGTGGCCAACCTGCATTTCTCCTGCAAGCCTTGGTATTTGTGGTGTGTTTGGAGTTCTAAGACCATGAAATGATCTCAGATTACCTTAAAAATGTCTCTGGCCCTTGTGGCAACAGAGAAAAATACGAGGAGGTGACTTAAGGGTGAGGCAAGGGGCCAGATGTTAAAATCATCAAGCACATGATTTTTAATTCCATGCATTTTTAGAGGCTCAGCTTGTGACTTGTACATATTCTGGGCTGTCAGCATTAGGCAAGTGATTGTGGCTTTCTAGGCTGCAAAGAGACTAAAGAGGAACTGGGCAAAGGGAGATTAAAGCCTGAAGACAGCAAAGATTATGGGGGATGGGCTTTGAGATGTGGGGAGATCCAAGCAAGTGATGCACGAGAGCATGAGTGTCCCTCGGGTGGCCTCCATGTCCTCTGCTGCAGAAGAGATGTATGGTCTGCAGCAAAGGTCCAGCAACCTCCCTGTCCGCGTGGATGGAGGCGGTGCAGATGTCTGGGGAGGCGACGAGAAGGGGGTGAGCATGCCCTGGACTGCTTCTCTGGCCACAAGATTTGTGGATGGGTGTTTCAGCTTTCCCGGAGCCCCCCCTAACCCAGGAGCTGAGCCTGCACGTGGTGCAGGCTGTGCAGAGGCAGGAGCTGGTGCGGAGGAAGGGGGGATGGCCAGGCTGCAGGTGAAATCTTCTGACTGAAGATTTCCATACACACAACCTCCCCAACCCCAATCATGGAAACCAGAGCAAACCAGGGCCAACTCTCCCGCTGCCGGGGCTGTGGCAGGACCCTCCATGGTGCTTTCCAGCACCGCGGGATGCAGCGGCATCAGCACCGGAGCATGAGTGCTGCCTCCACAGACCCCTCAGCCGTCTCTCCCCATCCTCTTCCACCATCCTGTCCTTTCCCTGCCCACCTCCACCCTCCCATTTCTGCAGGAGGGAAAGGAAGCAAAGAGGTGGCTGCGCACAAGGAGTCACCCACCCGACGCCAGGACACGCAGGGGCTTGACGGACCCTCCCCAGGGGGCACCCAGGGAGATGAAGCCCCCAATGTACTGATCCTTCCAGGCTTGCGTCTGCTGTAGCAGGAAGTAGAGGATGTTCAGGTTGCCCATGCTGTGCGCAATGAGGAAGACGCGTCGCTGGTACTCCTCGTGCATCTCCTCGATCAGTGCCTTCAGGTTCTGGAAGTATTCGGGCTGCTCCTCTGCAGACAAGAGGGGGCAACCAGCTCTTGGCCACCTCACTCATGGCTGCAGGGCTCCAGGACAGACCCTAGGAGCCCTGGCCAGGGAGAGGTGTGGGTACAGAGGCCACAAGTGCCACCACTCATTCACACGAGAGCACTGTGGGTGGCCGGGCACCCGCCATCACGGGCAGCCACCCCCGTCCGAGGGTTCTTCCACGCCAGACAGCTCACCCAGCCCGTGAAAACTATCCTGCTTCCCTCCCTGCATGGGTGGCCTGGCCACAAACCCCAGACTTACGGGGCCCGACCCTCCAGTCATAGGGGGCTGCCCGAACCGTCTGGTCCCTCACGTAGCCGTTGTTCACCAGGTTTTGCACCAGGGTGTGCAGGTAACCTGTGGGCAGAGAACACGGGTGGGAATTAGGTCCGTGGTCTTCTTCTGTCAACATTTTTTCACCCTGGTCCCAGCCACCACGTTCTCTGGTGAGCCCTGTAAGTGGCTCCAGCCAGAGGTAGTGGCTCCATGTGTCCCACGTGCACTGGGGTCAAGGACTGGGTGGTCCCTCCCGGCACTCGAAGGGACTGTGTCCCCGAGGCCAATGTCCCTCACTCCCAGGTGACCTGGGCTCTCTGCAGAACCGGTCCCCACTGGAGACATGGGGACACCTCTCCACTCACAAGGAGCACATGGGATCCCCAGACACCCCGAGCCTCTCCTCCTCTCACCCGCCAGCTTGCTCTGATCCAGGTATTCCACAGAGTAGGTCTTGCCAAAGCCAGGCACGCGGATGTGCACCCCGGGGGCGTTGGACATTTTCCGAGAGGTTCTGTTGTACACCACCCTGTAGGGAAAGGACAGAAAGTAGCAGAAGAACTGTGTCCCCATGGGGGGATATGGGGCTGGGGTGGAGATCACTGGAGCCACACAACTGTTTCCAAGTGGTGGTCTGGTGCCGAGCCAGCATCCAT